GGTCAGCTTCGGAGTCCGATTTCGGCTTTCTCAATCCCCTTTATTGTGGGTAGGCTTTAAAAAAATATGGATAGTCAAATCAAATGTCCTTCTTTTGGAGGTTTGGGTTAAGGATCAACCTCAATAGACAATGTTACACTTCGTCAGAGCTCGAATAGGGTTCGAGTCCACTAGAGTAGACTTGTTTTCTTTTTTCTAATATGTCACGACTCTAAAATTCTTACTAGGAACCGCTAGGTTTCACTAGATGCTACTAAGTGTCAAAAGAAGCATCTAGTAATCTTGTCCACACTTGCTAGTTTGGATACATCATCATATATTACTAATTATCATCAATTAGCATAGCTTGCATGTAGTAAGAATACAAAAATGAACCTCCAACTCTCCACACATCCACCCAGCAATATTTGTTCCCATTTTGTATAAAGTTGGTATATTTTCTATTCAAACAGTAGATGCTAATGCTCAACATGTGTAATGCATCATCATAATCATGATATATTTCTCTATTATCCTTTAATTATCTCCTTAAATTATTATGAATTTAGAAAAATAATAAGCATTCACACCCACAGTCATGCATTTACCATATGATAAACTTTTTTCCAGAGGGCGAAGTCGACTCGAATTTTGTATGGAAAAGTCGACTTGAGTTCACTCGACTTCATACAAATTTCGAGTCGACTTCGCCCTCTGCTTTTTTCCGCTTATGACATTTGTTTGTTGAACATGTGCGAGAGATTATGAGGCAGGAATTAGCTACAAGGATGTAAAGGGTTGATAGTATAGAAGAAAGAAGGAAGTTGGAAGATTAAACAAGTACTAGGATTTTAAGACTAGATGCCTTCCCACAACATCTCTATGTACATCCCTGAATAATTTTAAATTTTATTTACTTTATCACTTTGCCTTTATAATGAAGAATTAAATTTGAATACTCTTAAATTTAAAGACAAATAACTTCCACGCGTGAATGACAATAAAATACAATTGAATGTATAATAGCTGTGTAAACGTGAACGTAATTCGTAAAATAAATACTGAATGTTCTACGATAAAAATTTGTGTTCTTTTTTTTTGAGAATGGAAAGGAAAAATAAGAGCAGTTCCTTTTTTATTTATTTTTCTTTATTTTATTTAAGATGAAAATAAAATTCTTCGAAGGAATCCTTGATGTTGAACAGATGCACGCCCTGTCAGGTCTTTGCAGATGCTTTCTTTTGACTTTATGAACTCTTGATACTTTAGTTCAGTCAGGAATTCAAGTAGGTAAATAAAGAAGTACATTTTGGTATTTATAGTGATTTTGAGATCTAGTTGGATGTTATTAAGAATCTCTTCCATCAATCAGATCCATCTAGCTTGGAAATGCCAACAAATTTATATAAAATTGAAAAGCTTGCTTACAAAAGTATTCACAAAGCTTTGAGGTTGTCCTTTGACAATTCTTAAAGAAACCGGAAGGTAAAAGAACATGCACAAAGATGCTTTGAATGAGCTTTTTCCTTCTTTTTAATTGAAGTCATGCTTTTAGCTATTTGTTGATTATCTTCATGCTTTACAATAATGATGATATTTATTTCTACAAGATTGCAACTCAAGTAGTATTTAAAGGGGAAGTGGAAGGAGCTAGCAATGTTTAGTTCCGATTCGTTATTCCAAAGGATTGAAGTTGTGTCATTCTCCATACGATGAATTTAATTATTAAACTTTTATTCGTTAACCTTTAAGTCATCATCATTCAAAAGTTAACGACACCAAAAGAATATTCAATTTATCTCAATAATAATCGACAGCTCATGACAACTTCCATGTTAATTTTGTATGAATGATAAACTCAATAAAATTTATGAGCTCACGTGCACATGAAATCGTATTAATATCACACACACACAAAAAAAATGTTTCAATAAAAATTTCAATATCAATAAAAATCTATCGACTTACTTTTTTTCCTTTCCAATGATGCCTCTTATGCCATAGAAATAAAAATTATTCGAGATATCATTTGCATAATTTCGTCAGTTTATATCATCATCATCATCAATTCGCATTAGCAAAAGAAGGAAGATGAAGTAGGAAAAAAATGTGAAAATCTGATAAGATGTTGAATCCAAAAGCATACAAAGTGCTTCGTTTAAACAAACTTGAGCAGTAAGCTTTGATGCAAGCAAAGGAAGGATATGTATGATCTATAAAAATCAAATATTGATATTCAATAATGAAAATGTCAACATTTTGAAGCAGAGTAAGTTGTGATGAACAAAATCATCCATGGATATGAGTTTTAAATGGAAATTGAGAATGGATTTGAAATTTATCTCTTTACCTGCCATAAAGAAAATGAAAATTTGAATTTTCTAGAACGTTGAATGCGAGTTCTTTTTTCATGCATTCAAAGGTAATCGAGTTGTGAATGTATTTGCTGAGATTCGATTAAAGGTTCATTGCAACGATCTGATGTGATATTGAAGGTTTGTAGAGGTGAAAAAGATTTTGATTGGATTGAATTTATAGAATATTGTGGATTATTGTCAACAGACAAAAGTTTTACATCTCAGTCCTTCTTTAATGTCCAGTCACATTATTCAGTCTTTACAAATTTTTGTAAACCCAGCTTCGACCTACAACAGACAAAAAAAGCTCAAAACAATAATTTTAAAACTCAAAAAATCTGTTAAAATATTCATATCATGTAAAATATTCATTTCGTAGCCTGAATCCCTTCCAATATAATTTATGCAGTGAAATATGAACTTTCTCTCTTTTATTCAGTAGCTTAAAAGTCAATTTCTACTTATTCCACTCCCTCAAAATTTAAATTTAAATTTTTTTCTTCTTCCCTTCGTCATGTCATTCAACTTTTATGTGTGGTATGATGAGCTTATTCACATCATGATGGGATGGTATTTAAGTAAGTATATCATTTTATGGCAATTATAAAAGCTCTACGGGATTCATGCAATGCATTAGATATTTGATCATGCATTATCTCTGTACTTGAACTAATATTATCATAAGCTCAATTGTCACGTCTCGTTCCATTAACTCTCCTTTACATAGCCTTGTATTGGGGTAGATTGGATAATGCGGGACGTTTAGGAGGGAATTGGAAAAGGTTGGTGGTGAAATGGTTTGGGGTCGTTAACTTATGACGTCCAACATTTAGGGGGGGAGGGGGGGTCTCAAGCTGTGTGACACCTCAATACAAAAATTTTGTTTTTGTATGAAAATTTTGTGACAGAGGGGGGGGGGGGTCTACAAGGGTATTCGGTTCGTATAAACTGGAGATGAATCTCACAGCCTTGCTTAGTCATTTATCTGGCAGATATGTCACGAATTAGTGGTTCTAATCATATGTACTATGAACTTTAGTTCTAGAGAATCCTGTCAATAAATCGAAATAAAATTGATATGGAATTATTCTTCAAAAGAACAAAACGTTACATCACATCCAAACGAACCCCCTTTATTCTCTTGTTTATGATCACATTGTAAGAGTTTAATGACTCCCAGAGTATATTATTCTTTCTTTTTCCTTAAAATCAACAGTTTTTCTTCTATTATTTTTTATTTCTAAAATAAACTTTTTTTCTCCCTCTCATCGATTCATGTTCTGCTTATTCAGTCGATTGTACACGTCCGGGATTGTTTATTTTATTTTTTTTTATCGAGAGAGAATTTCTTTTTTCTGCATGTGAAAATCACTGTCAGAGGCAAAAACTGACCTAATGATATACAAAATTCTGTTTGAAAATAAATATACACATTTTTTTAAATCACACTTTACGAATTTATGCGAGAAAAAAAAACTTGAAAAATGATGGATGTGCCCACGATGGAAAATAAAATTTGTTTAGGAAATTGAACATCCGTGAATTAAATTAAAATTAAAATGGCTTTGGGGGTTTTGGGATTTATTTTTTATTTTTTGTGAGCTTGTTATCGTGTTTTTTTGGGGAATTAAGAGTGGTTTTGTAAAATTGATGAATGTTTGTGGTGCTTTGAGGTAACTAGCTATTGGGAATTGCATAAAATTGTGAGTTCAGGTGAATATATGATTCGAAGAGGGTTGGAGTTATGATTACGATGAAAATCATTATGGTCAATCAGGTCAATCAGGACAGTTCCTCGGAGGGTCGTTCTTTTAGAGATGTTGTATAGCTCGAGATCCTTATCCTTCCCTCTGGGGAAAAAGCTACTATCCATAACCTAATATTATAACCTATGAGAAGGAAAATCAGATTTTTAAGGACAAAAGAAGACTAAGATGCTTGGATTGACTGCTTGATACAATGTCTCTGAGAAACTCTCCTTACGATTCAGCCTAAATACCAAAAGCAATGCAGTTCACATCACTATTTAATTATTGTACCCAATCCACATCTAATATATTTTTCTCTAGCTTCATATTTTCTTCATTAAATCTCAAAATTTAATTAAAAAATATTTCACAAGATTTTTTTTACATACTAACATCATAAATCTACATGATCACTTTCATCCCGAGCGACACAAAATCTTTTTAATAGAAAAATCTTCATTTTTCTTTAACATTGCAATTTTATCGTTCATTAAACCTTAAAAAAATATTAATCGTTTCTTTACTCTTCAAAAGAACTCGCGAAATGCTATTTTACTTAATGACGAAATCTGATCATCAGCATCATCATGGGCTAGGTGGTTTTTTACGATATATCTCTAAAATTAAAAAGGCAAAAAAAGAAGAAAATTGAGAAGAAAATGAAATTTCCCACATGAAAACAAGATTTTTTTTTGTGCTGCAAAAAAAATTTAATTTTCTTCTCATTTATTTTTGCCGTTGATTTATTAAAATTGAGCAAATTTTCTCATTTTTGTAGCAAAATTATCTAGACGCGCAAAAGAAGGTGTTCATTGGAAGTACATCACCTGAGAACGATAGTCGAGTTCATAATTTCTTTTCTGTAAAGTGAAAAAAGTAAATAAAGAATCAGTTCAGCAAAAGAAAGTGGATAATAATGGGCTACCAAAGTGTATCTAATGAACTCGTACAGTGAGTTTATTTAAATAATTTTTTTTTTATTTTCTATTAAAATGAAAAATTATTCCGATGAAGTGCAAGTGCAAGTTGGTCATGTGGAAGAGACCCGAGCGGCGAAGAAAATAATTTTGCTATTGAAGGAATTTGTGTTGACGTCAAGTCGTTAAATGTCATATGTGTCATAGTGTTTTAAAATAGATTTTGGACAGCTATTCTTGTTTAGATACTTATGATGTGTAGGTTGGGGTGTTGAATGTGAAGGTGTTACTCTTGAAATGGTTCATAGGTATAATGTCCTTGGAGAAATGAAAACTTGTGGCTATACATAGAGCTTAACAATAAAATTAAGTATCTAACGACTGCTATCTCCCTAGTAACTCAAGCTACCTGACCCTCATTATGACTGAGGGGTAGTTAAGGATACAAGCTTCAAGAACTCACTTTGTAATGACCATAGAGTAGCATAAAGACGTATAGATATTAATATTGGCCCAGGTTTTAATTTAAGAGCTTCATAGAGCTCTCTTTCTTGGTAAACTCTAAGTGAACCTTCTGAAACTGTGCATTTTTACTTAATGGACTAACCCTACACACAGCTTCACTAATAGAACTACAACATTAACGACATGACGACAATAAACATTTCCTGGCTGTCAGAAATCAAACATGTGCATGTGTCGCTCGGTAAAGAGAACATAAAGTTATCTAATTGCATCTGCATTAAATATGAATATTGTGGATTTTTTTACAAGCGAGAGAAGATCCTCACGGTATAACAATGTACATGAAATATTACAACATGCAATGCAGAATATGAAATATGAATTTTAATAAACTAGAATAATAAAAAAAAATTAAATTACCTGCGCACTTTTATGATTGCATAATAAGTTTTTCCTTTTGCAAAAGACATTTCTTTTCTACTTTTTTTTTGTTTCATCGCCGCCGTATCAACCAGATGAGAGAACGTTGCTTGCAATAAATTACAAAAATATAAATATGAAACATAAATGTTTGTCAAAGTGGGCGTACAAATAAGTGTGAAGAGAGATAAATGGCATGAACAGTTTACATGGAACTCGTAGAGAGTGAATTTTTCATCTCTATGAAGTCAAAAAATCTCAGCATATACACACATGCAGATATATACTTTATTTTTTGTGTGAATATAAACAGCATAAACGACGATTTTCACCCTGAAGAATTACAACTGTATCATGTGAACGCACGAGAACGTGAATGAGTTTTGGATGAGTTGTGAATTTATTGAGATCATCTTTTGGGGCATAAAAGCGCACACATTCATCTTCCGTGATGGAGTGTATTTTGAATGAGATGTGTAGTTTTGATATGGCTGTGATTATTCATACAGTCTGTGTATGTGCTGCTCATGTGATATTTCTTGTGAAAAAATGTGTTTTAAAAAAGATGTGAAGGAAGTGGAAGGATTAATTAAATTATTTTAAAATCCAGCATTAAATATAGAATCAATTTGAGAAAAAGAGAAAATGCCATTCAGATGTGAATGGAACAGAGTCGAAAGATTGATGATGAAAAATATTCATATAAGTAAATATATCCCATCAAAAAAAGGCAGCTCGCGCTTGAAAATAATGCAAGCAAACGACGCGGGAAGTCTCAAGTTGAATTTAAGACTGTTTAAGACGCTTTTGTGGTGTATAAAATTTAAATTAGGGTTTTTGATAAACAGTAATGTTTGAGTGCTCATATAAACTCTAGAAATGACCAATAGCAACCGTATGGAGTGCCTGATTTATGATAGCTTACTTGGGAGTTGATCAACTAAGATCTATGCGAATTCAAAGTTAAGACGATCAGATAATAAAGTAAGAACTAAGTGATAACTACCTTAAAAACGTTCTTTTGGTGCCATTGCATCCGAAATTGTGGAAGAACTTGTTTTCATCACTAATATAGTAAGGACAATTAAATCAGATAAAGCTATATCAAGAAAACTTTTCTTGCAAATTAAGGTTAGGTTGATTCTTGGTCTAATGAACACACTTAAGTTTATTAAGAAGTTAGTTCCTCACCAAACCCATGAAAGCCTAAGAAAACATCCTATAAAACAGAAGCTACGTTAGTGCCACACTAGTTTTATTACCTACTGCAACATTTAAGCGATTATACCTCAATTAGTCATGGCCACAAGTCAACCTCACGCTCAATGTCAAGAAAACAACTACAGCTGATCATTCCGACCAACCACCTAGCCAAAATAAATCACTAAGCATTTTATAACCCATTAAAAAAATGCTGCAAAAAAATCTCATTCCTCATGAACAATTTGATCAGCTTTTCGTGGATCTTCTTCCCACCCTCACGAGTGCTCACATGAGGAAAATTTTCTCAAAATTGCTTCTCTCAAAACCATAAAATAATCTATTTCGCGCCATTTATCTCTCTCACTCTCCCACATGTATTTTGCTGTTTATTCCTTTTTATTATTATCTAAGCTCGTCTCGTGTTTATAAACAGCGAACGAGTATGTACCCAAAAAAAGTTCAATGATTCATTTTGATTTTCCTTCCTTTTCATTCTCGATATTGTTGTCGGTGCTCGCACGTAATAACTTAGTTTGACAGAAAATGAAGCTATTGGATTTTTACGGCAAGAGTCGGGCTTTGCAACAAAAGCCATCCACAGTGGATATAGACCGGAACAATTGTTATGCCGGTAAGCTATTGATAACGAATATGAATTTATTATTATTATTATTTTATATGCTAAAAATAATGAAATTCATTTCCAGGTCGATAGTTGCACCGATATATATGTCTACATCAGTATCATCAGCATCCTTGTCCCAAAATGATAATAAAGGCAATGAATTACAAAATACAGAAAATCCCACAAGAATAATTCTTGAACAGACATTGGCAGCACTTGACAATGGTAAATATGCACTAGTATTTCCATCTGGCACAGCCGGTCAAAGCTGTTTGATGGCAATGCTTAAAGCAGGCGATTCAATATTATGTGGAAATAATATTTACACTGGAACAATTGAATTGTTTAGAGAGACTGGAGTTGATATAGGACTAGAAGTAGATTTTGTTGATATGACTAAGCCTGATGAGGTGAGAAAGGCACTAAAGTCCAATACAAAAATGGTATGGGTGGAGACACCAAGCAATCCTATGATGCTCATAACGGATATAAAGACAATTGCTGATATCGTACACAAAGAGAGTAATGCTATTGTTGTTGTTGATAATACACCATCCAGTTGCTATTTTCAAAGGCCCTTAGACTTCGGAGCGGATGTTGTGTCATATTCCATAACCAAATTCATGAATGGCCACAATGATGTTGTAATGTAATTATTTTATCTATCTTGTTATTTTAAACTTCCTTATAGTCATCTTTCCTCATCACTTCCTCCTATTATCTCTAGCTGGGTTTTCTGAGAGATTCTAGAATTCTTATTTTGGCTGTGGGTGCTGTTCTAATCTAGAGTTCTTGGCATTCTTGATGAAAACTCATTGCCCAACTCTAAATGCATTGGAATCTGGCTCAGCTACTCAATTCCTTCTGCCAGGTCCTGATTCTTAGCACATTTGCATTGATATTTATTCGAGTACCACTTCTCCTATATTGAAAGACCTGTTAAGATATTCTTATATCCCTTAATATATTTTTTACTGCTGTCCAGAGTTCCATTAGGTTCTCTTTTGATGAAAATTTCAATAGTCTGGTCTATTTTTTCATCTTTCTGACTCTGACACAAGAACTTCAAATACTTACAGCAGGTACAATCCTCCTGCTTTAAATCCATCTTGCATCATTGCCATTTAATATCCATCTCTTTAAAAAGTTGCGCTTATGACACTAAACACACCCAGACTACTAACCATCTTACTTGCCTTTTTGTTTTGTTATTTTCTCTCTCATTTTATTTTTATTTCTCATGTCTAGGGGAAGTATCTCGACCAACAGTAAAGAGCTTTATGAGAAAATTAAATTTACTCAACAAATAACTGGCATTTGGCCTTCACCCTTCGATTGTGCATTAGTGATAAGGAGTTTAAAAACTTTGGCATTAAGAATGGAACGACATTCCTTAAATGCTTTACTGATTGCTAAATTTTTAGAGCACCATTCACGTGTCAGTGGTGTTTTACATCCCGCCCTTGCGACTCATCCTCAGCACAAACTCGCCTTATCTCAATGTTATGGCCATGGAGGGAGTTTATGTTTTTACATAAAAGACGCAAAATTGGATGAGACAAAAAGATTTTTAAAGCACTTGAAAGTTTTTATGTGGGCTGATAGTTTAGGTGGATGTGAATCATTGGCACAAGCCCCACTTTTATGGTTCGTCGTTCCGACATCATTCTCAGATGAAGAAGTACATGATTTGGGATTTTTAGAGAATTTAATTCGTCTATCATGCGGTTTAGAGGATCCCGAGATATTAATCGAGGATTTAAATCAGGCGTTAAATGCTCTGTGAAGCATATCTAATGAGGTATAAGATGGAAGATAAAGCAAAAGCTATTGACTGTTAAGGATGAAAATGTAAGAAAATTTGATAATGGATAAAAAGCTGTCTTGAGTCTTGAGATTATCGATTGAACAGATAAATTGAATTTTCATACTAATCAAATTTAAAAGCCTTTAAACAATTCAGAGGAATGGAATATATTAAGAAGATAAAGGAATTATACTAACATTTATGTAAATATTCATACAAAAATTTTGTAAATAACATTACATTCATCCCTTTGATGTATATATTCATATTATTATTTTAAGAATTTCACAAAACTGAGGAAATAAATCGACTATTACAAAAACTGAAACTTGTCTTACATGCTTTTGCTTGTTATGAATCTTTTGAATTTTATGTCATTTAAAATTACATCTTTGAGGAATGGGGGAGATCATCAATGACGTCTAGTGAATTATTAAATCAAGAGATGGGTATCATTCATTAGCTATTGACCCCAAAGCCCACCCACACGAGATCTTTTGCAAATATTATTGTCTATAAATACTGACCGTGAGCAAAATGAAGTGTAATTTAAATATTAACAAGAATCTTCTTTGACTTCTGAATGTCCTGTCTGTCAGCAAACGAGGAAAAAGCCCATTTAAATTTCCATTTGTTTCCTACACAAAATACATAACTTTCCTGTCATTTACAATGTTATTTCCCCTTACTATTCATGTTTTCTTTCAAGTTTTCATTCATTTATTATTTTAGTAAAGTGTGGTTGGAAGTTTTTAAGTTATTGAGTTTTGGAATTTTATGGCGCAATTTTCATATTGTCCGTTTTTTTACTAGAGTCAAAAAGAAGTTTTCAAAATTCAACAGTCTTTTATAATTTAAATTTTTGAAATAAAAAGATGCGAAAATGAAGCAAAAAATGTTTTTCATAGTTTCAGCCCCTTCGCATTGTTTTGGTGGGAATTGTGGAATATTTACCTCAATTTAATCCGTTCAATCCGAGTTTATTCAATTAATATAATCACATTCGAGTCAAAGTGAATAAGAAGCACTATCACTAAAATGAATAAGTGAGTAAAACACAAATATAAGTTTGAATCACAAAAAAAACTTTTTAAAAAAACACGTTTTTACCCGTGGATTAAAAAGGAGAAAATAACTTTTTTGATTGGGTTCAAAGGATATTGGTTTGAAAATTTGAGATTGATTTGAAAGTTTCATACTTAAGTCATGACCAAACATGAATTGCAAATTTGTTCACTTCGACCATATTGTATAATTCTACATCTTAAAACGTGGGCGCATTCATTAATATTGTATATTAGGAAAGCTTAAATTTTATATAAATGCGCCCACGTTTTAAGATGTAGAACTATACAATATGGTCGAAGTGAACAAATTTGCAATTCATGTATGGTCATGACTTTAGTATAAAACTTTAATATCAATCTCAAATTTTCAAACCAATATCCTTTGAACCCAATTAAAAAGGTTATTTTCTCCTTTTTAGTCCACGGGTAAAAACGTAGTTTTTTAAAAAGTTTTTTTATGAAGTATTTTTTTGTGATTCAAACTTATAACTTAGGCTTTTTGAAATATAAAATTATTGAAAGTTGTGCACATGTTATGTAAAAATAATCTAAGCCTTAAAGAGTAGAAAATCCTTAAAGAGTAGAGTAGTTAAAGAGTCATCTGAAAGATAAGTGCATGCAAAATTTCAGCTTTATTGTAGCAGTAGAAGTGGTCGAAAATTTGATCGCAAGATTAGACCTCGACAAACAGATAAACAGATAAGAAAGCAAGTTAAGAATAACGTGGTAATAAAAGCATTACAATTTGAATGAGAAAGAAATTTTTCAGTTTATTTGTCGCAAAAATTTTCATAAAATCTTTTATTTTCTATCATGAAATGCGGAAAAATACAAAAATATCATGATATATCTTCCTTTAGAGTCACATTTATCTTAATAAAATTGTCTCTTACCACAAAAGAGATAGGCGAGAAGAGAAAAGGGCAAATGAGAAAGAAATAAGACAAAAGAAGAAAGAGAAAATGAATGTCATAAGAGAGTAAAGTGTGAATGTATTAAATGAAAAGTATTTATCGTACGGAACAAAGAAGACATGGTCAATATAACATACAAATTGAATATATGCAAGCCGGCTTTTTCACGCGAGACGTTAAAACACAAGAGAGAATAATGAAATTCTTTTTGACATATACTCATGAACCTCCACTCATATGTGTATGGGATCTATTAAAAAGCTTCTCAATAAATGCAGAAGACTTTCAGTCTCAATTCAATTTTGTTGTCATTTAGTTCGCACGCTCCCGCGAAATCAAATTACTCCTTTGTGTTCATACATTATTAATTAATTTTTGTGAATTATTAGCAGCTCATTTGACTGATAAAATGTCGAAGTAAGTTCAAAATAATTTCATTATCATTCAATTTTGTGGCATTTAGTGAACTACAATAAAATGAAAAAGAATATAAATTATATCAAATTTCATGAAACAAAGCGAAATAAATCGATAAGTTCATCAAACTCTTTTTGTTATAAAATTTCAACAACAGCGAACCTTAAATCACACATAATTTATTTTTAGAACATAAAAATGAGATTAAATTTAATGTATGTCATAATGACGAAGCACGACTAGTGTTGTTGAATGAAACTCATTTTAACCTTACTCTATGTTTGATAAGAATAAGTCGACACAGAGAGGAAGAGACGCAAGTATGTTAACCTTGACATTCATCTCATTTATAAAATTATCTAAAAATAGTTATCTGTAAGTCTTAGACACATTACTTATATATATTAGGCATAAAGTAGACTTTTATTAGACAATAAAATTGCAGGTATAGACTTCCTTTTTCAGGTAATTGAAATTCCCAATGAGACTAGTTCTATTGTTATGAGATGAAAATGTTTCAAACTTTATGTGTTTACTATAGTTTGCCTATAAATTTTACTGATGCTATAAATAATGTGACTAAAACGTTTTTGCGGTACCATGGAAGATATCGATCCTTGTAATTTGAGTGATATCGTCTAAGAAGTTAAACTATGGTTGTAAAGTTTCTCAAGCAAATGGCGCGTATATTTTTATTGAGCAAACTTTTGATAAATTGGATTTTTAAGGGTTTTGGCATTAACTTTTTTGGCTCATTGTAGATGCTCGAGCAAGTAAAATGTTTGAAACTTTATTCATCAAAATAATCTCTTAATCCTACTTTAGTCTTTGAATCCCTTCAAGTGCTATTTTCTGAATATTAAATGTCCAGATACTTAATACTCCTCATAAGCATTCAAATTGCAAATTCTATTCACATAGGAATTTAATAAAAAATTTCAAGCAACAGAAAAATTACTTTAAGTAGAAAACTTGAATCAATAAAATAGTTGTCAGCAGTTCATAATTGCCAATTAAACCTTAATCGCTGTTTATTTTGATATCAATAATTAAGTTAAAACTACCAAGCTAAGAAGAATAAAATGTTTTGATTTATTTGATTGTAAAGATTTCATCAGGGTTTTATTGGGGTTTGTTGAGTTCCTTTTGCGTTTTAGAAAATTTTATTTTGGATTCATGAGGTTGTTGTGGAGAGAGATTGAGTTGAGCGGGTAAGAGAAGGAGGGAAGACTGATAACTTAGACATATCCTTCTTTCTAGACTGCAACTAGTAAACTATCCTGATCATTACTCATTCCACAGCAAAACCTTATCCAACACATCCAAAAAATATTTTTCACATCCATAAGCCATTCAAACATTCATCATAAACCTGATAAAATATCCTCAAAGACAGACATCACAGCAATAACGTCAAACTATAATAAATTAATTACCTTACGCCTTTATGCATCAAACTAATCATTAATCACATTAATTTCAATTTAAGTCATCCTGATGAAGAATAATAGACAGATTGTCATTCATAAATGAACTCTTTCACCTTACTGATCCCACATTAATGCGTCATATTCTTCGCTCGTCTATGTAATTGTCAAGCATTATCAAGAAAATTTTTCTTTTTATTTACTTTATGCTATCATAATTTATATTCTTAAAAATAATTACTTAGCACAAACAACACGACATCATATTAATCTCGTGTTCGTAAATAAGGAGAGAATTTCTCATATGCTGATAAGACAACAACAGTCGAGAGCATAATAAGAAAGATTAAAGCCTCTTAAATGCCTGTTTGTTGTCGTTTCAAGTGAGCCCGTTTAAATTTATGTTAATTAAGTCAAATTAATGCAAATTAAATTCCTGAATGAACAACAATGAGCGGCTCTTGCGGGTCGTTTAAGAATGATGTATGTGGTGTATAAAGCTGTGTCAATACTATGGAATTATGCTTTTTAATTAGTTGGCGATTTTTGACTTTAAATTAGAATTTGACGATTTTTTTTATGAAAAATTCGAGGACAGTCGGCAACAAACTTTAAAAGGTATCAACGACATCACTTATAAGTACCCCCCAATGCTCCATCTCGTATAAATTCTCATACATCTCTCATAATTAAATTTGTCACTATTTTTCCCACTCACATGTTTTTCCATCAACCCCTCATTCTATTACTTCTTCAATCATCACATCACATTTTATGGTTTTGTAACTTTTTCCCTCGATTTCTTCTTGCTCATCTTTAATATAATTTATTGGATAGAAAAGTGCTTTTGTTCATGCTTTGTCTCAGGTTTTCCGGATAGGATTTTCTTTCGCAACAAAGAAAAACTCACATATGAGCATTGTTTATAAATCAGAAAGTAATGATGTTTGTGTAGCAGAACTCGCAGATGTTCTGATATTGTTTTTTGAGATTTATTTTTTTGGAATTTGTTGTCGTTTTGGAGTCAAGGACAGTCATAAGCTTTCGGATTAAATCAATTGTAATGTTGTTCAATATGAGTTTAAGATTGAGGGAAGGAGCTTAGCGATAGGTACCGATGAGATCTCTTATGTCGCAAATGGTTAAGCAAATGATACTATCCATGACCTGTGCTCAATTTGTCAAAAGTTCTTTGTTTTTATGAGTTGCGTAATTGCTGCAATAAAAATTCAATTCTGTCATCAAGCCAAAAAATTATCTTTTTCATGCATGCATGCATGTGACCTTATTCGTCGTGAATTAACTTTACAGAATTTTCTTCTATTTTTGGACAACCTACTTCCTTTCGTAAAGTCATCACATAAAATAATTAAAATGCGTTGTGCACCGTCTGCTGTCAAAATTTTCCACAAGCTCTCTCACAAGATGTGCAAGTTTGACTTTAATAAAATTTGTGTCATTCTCATTAAGTAATTTTTCGCCATGTCATGGATAAAAAGAAGTGAAAAATACTTCTTGCCATTCTTGTTGTATTTTGTTAAATGCCACAAACACATTCACATGAAAAAAATAAATTAAAGGACATCCATAAAATCAGATTGCGTGTAACGCAAAAAATAATAATTTTTCCTCTTTGTTTCCAACAGATTGACTTTTGGAGAGGAACTCGGATTTCAAAAGCAAACGCCAGGCTTTGCAACAAAATCTATTCACAACGGACAAAAGCCTGAACAATGGAACAGTCGGTAAATAAATTGGATTTTCTTTCTTCTTTCCAATACGTTCTTAATCTCAATTTTATGTCTATTTCTACCTTTTTTTTCGGGGTGTTAGAGCTGTCGTACCGCCGATAAGTTTGTCAACAACATTTAAACAATCAGCACCAGGCGTTCATTCAGGATTTGAATACAGTCGATCTGGTAATCCCACGAGAAATGTTCTCGAAACATGCTTGGCTGGACTTGATAATGCGAAATATGCACTGACTTTCTCGTCTGGATTGGGAACACAAACCGCAATTCTGTCAATGCTTAAGACTGGTGATGGAATAATCACTGGCGATGACATTTATGGAGGTACAAACAGATTGTTCAGAAATCTTGCTGCAAATATGGGCATTGAGGTACAATTTGTTGACTTAACGGATTTAAAGAACTTGGAGAAAGCCATAAAGCCAAATGTTAAGCTTGTATGGATGGAAACGCCAACAAATCCATGCATGAAAGTTATTGATATCAAAGCAGTTGCCGAAGTTGTTCATGCTAAAACAAAAGCTTTCCTCGTCGTCGATAATACCTTCCTCTCTGCATACTTCCAACGACCATTGGATCTTGGTGCCGATGTCGTAATGTATTCATTAACAAAATATATGAATGGACATACGGATGTTGTTATGGGAAGTGCTGCAACGAATAGCGAGGAGCTTCATGAAAAGCTTCGCTTTTATCAAAATGCTACAGGTAAGTTGCTTTGTTATTAAGTTTGTTGGGGACATTTAAAAGTGACATTTACAATTAAATTTTCATAGAGCTTTAAAAACCTTTATTTTCTCGAAATGCCAGACATCACAAGTCAACGACCCCACAAAAATATTCTACAGATGAGCTTTCCGTATCATTCTTATTATTCTCATTAGTTTTTGTTCTTAATTCACCCTAAAGGGCATGAGATGAATGAAAATTATGTAATTGAATAGAAAGGGTTAGCTCGTTATAGGATGAAAATATGCAAGCTGACTCCTCTTTCTGTTTTCTTTTAATTCCAATAATTTTAAAACAAAACATGTTTTCTGATACTTTATCATCGAACATTCGTTATGTAGTGGGACGTGAAGAATGATGAACTTTATCTTTTACGAGCAACAAATAAAGTTTTTTGGGTTACTTGTTAGAAATGAGAATATTCTTTGTTGCTTTAAGTTGATTGTGAATATTAAGTTTGGAACTAGGAAGTTGAGTAAATGTCAATACAGCATTTAAGATTGTTTCTTATCTCAAGTATCATGTCTAGAAATTGAAGAACTCAATCAAATAATTTAAACCACAAAGTATACAGACATTAAAAGAGGATATCCAGCTTAATAATCAACTTCCATGTCTGTACAATCCCAAGCATTTAAAAGCTCATTTCATCCTAATTCCTAATCTCAATTTCATCCTCAATTAAATTTCTCAAATTTATATCAACAGGAATCGTTCCATCACCGTTCGATTGCTATTTGGTCAATAGAAGCTTGAAAACTCTATCATTGAGAATGGAAAAGCATTTCCAAAATTCTGTTACTGTTGCTCAATGGCTTGAGGCTCATCCGAAAGTTGGAAAAGTTTTACATCCAGCATTGCCATCACATCCACAACATAAAATTGCGTTGTCACAGACCTTTGGGCATTCGGGTATCATGTCGTTCTATATTAAGAATGGAACATTAGAACAATCGTCAAAATTCTTGGAGACATTAAAAGTTTTCACACTCGCTGAATCTCTTGGTGGATATGAAAGCTTAGCGGAACTTCCAAGCGTTATGACGCATGCATCAGTGCCAGAAGCTCAACGCGCTGAATTGGGAATAACTGATGGATTAATCAGAATCTCTGTTGGACTTGAGGACTCGCAGGATTTGATAAATGACCTCGAGCAAGCATTTGCTGCCATTTAAAAAGGCTTTTCTACATTCTTCTTTTTACATGTCAAAAAAAATATTTTTTTATACGAAATAAATTCTTTTTCTATAAATCATGATTATTCATTTCTTTCTTTATCGACAACTTAATTGACTTCCGATGCAATTATTGATGAAAGGTATTTACATATTGTGATGTCTAATGAACCGTCTACATTGTATCAATAAGCAATTATTTTCATAATACTAAGTTTGAAATTTGATATTCATGAACACCCTCAGAGTTCATAGACTTTTGTTGCTATTTCTTCTTATGCAAACATCCTCATCGATTGTAAATGTATTCATACATCAATGGGGCGTATGATAATTTGTCAATTTCATTTCACTCTACTGTTATTACTTATCATGTATATTATACGTTTATTTATTGATTTTCATTTGAAAAACGTTCATCAATCAAGTTATTTACACTAGACTGAATTGTTTTACTTTCAATTGAACATGCATTGATTCATAAGAGTTTGATGTTTGAGGTTTCGTTCAATGTGATGCGTAGAAAGGCTGAATCATTTCTGATTAAATCAGGGGATGGGAATTCTCACATGAATTGGATACTGATTGTGTTTAAACAAAATTTCGTTTTTATGGATTAAACCTAGATTATGAAGCTGGCAATTCTCCTCGATCATACAGACAATCCAAAATGTGCTCAGCCTATATGATTCATATAAGAATTTACTTTCAATGCAACAGAAAACCTCACTAAAGCTTCGCGATGTGAAAAATAAAAGTATTCAAAAACTTGAAAGCATCTTAAGCCACATGAGCTTAAAAAATAATGAAGACAAGCACAAGCGTACTTCATAACTTTAAAAACTTTTCCGTATGCAAAAATCTAATTAAATTAACAAAAATCTCTCAACAAAATATAAAAAGTAAGCGTCACGTATGAAGGAAGAATGCTTTCGTGTTGCAAAACAACAAGCTTGAGAACGTAAACCACACTTTTTGCAGGAAACCTGCCAAAACTTTGTTATTTACTTGAAAGAACTTCAAAACCCTAAAATTATTCCTTCAAAAGAAACTTTTCACATTTCCGCATGTGAAACATGTTGAAAGAATATTATTTTTGTTGTATATTCATTATCATTCAACTCATTAACAAATGTGAGATGAATATTAAGTGTCTGAGGTGTGTGCTCATGTATATCATGACATAAAAGCAAATTATACATTCATATACATCATCATTGACTTTAATTACCTTTAATATTGACAAAGTAAAGTTCACAAAGTGCTTTTTGTTATTGAATCAGCGTCATTAACGGCATTAAAGTTTAATGATATTCAATTGCTAATGACTTTGATGATTTTGATATGTACAGGGTTGTTGTATCTGAAAACAATCGAATAAGTTGGAATGGGATTGGCAATGATTGAGGTTAGAACATATCTCATAATTACGTTATTAGCGATCCATAGGGGATCGTTCACTTATGACGTCCGAAATTAAAGGTCATTTTTCAAAAAAGAACAATAGAATTCCAGGAATTTCTATTGTTCTTTTCTTGCTGACCCCCCCCCCCCCTCTCCTGGACGTCATAAGTGAATGGCCCCTAAGGTAGTTTTAAAAAATGAACAGACCACAGACACAACCTCGAAACTTATAATCCCTTGACTTCTCGTTAAACTGATTGTGATATCATGCATGCATAGCTGCGTCAGCAAATAAGAATACAATTATTAAGCAAATGTTCATCAGCTGTAGTGGCAAACAATTCATTTTCATATCGCTTTATTCTTCTTCATATTTTCCCTAATTATCACTTATTACAGCTGTAATTTTCGATACCCAAAATAAACTAGCATATTTTTGGGTAAGAAATCATAAGCAACAATCCTATCCAAACAGCATTTTATGAAAAATTAATTTGTTAATATTTTATTTACATGGAAAGCAAATATGCTGAATATGAGGACATTAAAAAATAAACAAAGAGCAAAACACGTATAAAGGAGAATCCCAAACACGTAAATTTCATTAGTTTTATGGTAAATTTTCATCAAAGTAGAAGGGATTGAAAAAGGCTTTTTTAATTAAGCCCAATTGGAGGAGAATAATTGAAAACTTCTGTGTGGATATACAGAAGCAATTACCATAATTGTTTACTTCTATTTCTCAAAAATTTTCAATATCGAGCTTGCTTGTTGTGGTGTGTGTTGAATCATAAATGGTGCTTAGACAATGGGAGAATAAGGAACAACATACTAGAGTGCATAATAGTATTTAATGTGAATGCAAAATGTTGATTAAAAATTATAATTAGGAGTGTATCTTGTGGATGATAGTGAGATATATAGAGGATGTGATATGAACTATGGAGAATTTTTGAAAATGAGGGGGACAAAAGGTTTGAGGGAATTGTTCGAGATTCATAATTTTGACCTAGAACTCGTTTGATTTAAGCAGATATGACAGAAGTCAACTCTTTAGACTCCTTAAAATTGACTTTAGGATTTTAGAGATCGTTATCCCCAAACATGTTGCCCCCCTCGTCAATATCCATGAAATATCATTTCAATATCATTATAATTCCTAAATATTTGAATAATTGAAAATTTCTAATTAATATTTTGTGCATATATTGATAGAATCCAGACAGGAATAGAATTTGGATAGACACGAAAAAACAAAATTATTTGTCCTCATGAATATGATGCTAGTGACATTTTTGCTATATCAGTTTTTAACTGTATCCTCCGGTCTTATGAAACATATTAATATTGATGAAAATGACGACAAAAGTGCTTTAATTGTGTATGAAAAACTTTATAATTTAATTGAAAATATCACAATGCGACATAGTGTTAACATGAGACTGTGGATTTTATCATTTGAATCAAGAAAAAAGAGTGGCAGCAGTGGCAGCGATATTTCACAATTTCATAAAACCAATAATAAAATCATGAAAATAATTTATACAGCAGATTATCAACTAAATATACCAGACAGGAGAGATTATGCGACAATATTTCTAGCACAAACTAATGATAATCGTTTAGAAAATTGGCTCAATATGAGCCTAAAACTGCCACCCGACTCGATAAAAATCTATGTGAACCACAATGATTGCTATTTAAATGAATCGATGCTTGCAGAAATCATGAGCAAATTGTGGCATTCGCATGACAAAATTGGCTTTATTTACTACATCTCGTTGTGTATGTTGCCATCGTCATATAACAATAGCATAAGTGGTCAACGTAGCAATAGTGTCGGTAGCGATTATGGTCGACAGTCACATAGGAATAATTATATCATCAATTTATTTTACTATCATCCATTTTTAAGGCATAAATCAGTTGTGGAACAACATCAGCACATTTGGGGTGGAATGGAAAAGATAAATTTGATAAATGATAAAGGATGGACTGATATGAGCAGTCAAGCATTTCATTACTTCCCGTTTGTACCACATAAATTGAATTTCTATGGATATTTATTGACCGTTATACTCTTTCCATCCACAATGGCATATTTTAGAAGTGAAATAAATATGTTCAAAAAATATTTGTCAATAGAGACGCTGAAAGATCCGTTTCACAGTGTTGGTGCGTATTTTGGTGAAGATGTTGAGGCATTGTTGGAATTTCAGAGGCTGTTAAATTTTAGTATCAAGCTCTCACCAACATCAGATATGGGATTCTATGGTTTCAAAGTAAGGAACAAGCAAAAAATATTTTTAATTTACATATTTTTGAGGTTGGCAATTTTTTGGTGCACTTTGTCTGGCTGTTCGGCTGGATTTATATCCATCTACATACTTCAAATAGTTTAAAGCCGTTATTTTTTCAAATATTTTTTGACCGTTAATGTTTCAAAATTATTTTCCTGAATCTTAAAAATTATTTTTCAATAATAATGCGCCATAGTAAGCAACAAAGCACCACATCCTCACAAGTTTTCCACATGTCATCTAAAAAATGTTTCACTTTTCCTCCTTTCATTTACGTATGCATGTGAGATGTCGGCATATGTGTTGAAATTTTAATGTATACATTTTTTGTTTTTTGAAAAAAAAAGGAACTAAAAAGAAGACAGAATGTGAAAGCGCACATACAAATATGTATAAATGTTTATGTTATATGAGGTCCCTCAAACAACATAAATCCCAATTTTCAAGTCGTAAAAAAAGATATGGAAAAAATGAGACACAGAATCAACTTGACAGCAAAAAAGGAATCCACAAATTTGCGCCTAGGCATTATAATGTCTCTTTTTTTTGCTGCCATACCGTTTGCAAAGTAGCTCACACATTTTTTTGTTCCTGCCTTACTATTTATATATTAAAGTAAGGCCACATTTAGTTTTTGCCTCTACATTTGTGTGCTTCATTTAGTTTACACATAAACATTTCAGTTCTCGTTAGCACACATTTCTGCACAAGCTGGGATAGTTTGATAAGTTTTTTTTGGTCGTTATAAATTTCTGCAATATTTTCTATTCTATTTGGCTGTGACAATTCAATATTATAGGAATTGGGTGAATTTATCGAACAAATTGTTTCAAGTTTGAAGTTTTAAAATGTTTGGAATAGTTTAGTGAATTTATGGCAGTTTTGTTTATTGCCTCAATCTACTTTAGAAGATTTTTCAATTTTTGCAGCTTTATCCAAATTTTGGATTGAATAGAATAAGAACTTTTATCGACTATTAGTTTTGACTCCTACAAAGCAGCAGAAGATATTAAATTCTAATTCTTGATCTGGATTCTAATACTAATCAGAGAACCTACTCTTGTAATTTTTTATAGCTTTAAGATACTAGTGTAATGTACGTTATTAGCTTAGAAACCGAGTTTTGTGAGAATTCAATGATAGTTTAACTTAACTAGCTTCAAAACTATTGCTTTCTGTAGGTTTAGCTATCTAAAGTAAAATGTGTAAATGGCTTCATTAGTAGTAATCTGTAATTCTTTCCTTGTGAAGATGAGGGTCGATTCCCACTGATTTACTTTAAAAAACTAGTTTTCAGAGACTTTTAATAAAGTTTGTATCAGAGCCTTATCCATGCCTTTATAATTTCTAGAAAAGAGCTCGAGAATGTTCCTGACTTAAATCTCATTAATCCTCAAGCCTCAAAATTAATGTCATAAATTAAAAATGACAAGTCTAAAGGGAACCATATAGTAAAATTATTCATCATGTCTCATCTGAATGATTTTTTTTTGAAACATTTAATTCAATTATAGTTTAGATCCAGTAATTACGTGTTAGGTATGTAAAACACATTCTACCCTGAGTCAGAAATCAGACAGAAAAAACATACATTGTCTGTTAAATTAAGTTAAAGTTTCCCAGTAATAAAGTTTGCAGAATTAAGCTTCAGACAAGCTCATTTGTATTTAAATAAAAGGGAATAATCACCATGGTTATGCTGTGTTACTTACTTTATAAAATTTTCATTATCTTTTATGTTTAATTCATTTGGAAAGAGAAAATGTGTTTTTAAAAAAAAAAAACTTTTTTTTTCCTCTCATACATTTGTTATTATTTTTTTACACACCCTCCTGCTCATTGCAATGGCGTCAACCCGTAGCGAACGATGTATTTTATACGAAACAGACAGTATGCACTAAAATTGCTTTTTCATTTAAACTTTTTTTTAATGAAAATTGCAAATTTAATTCTGAAAAAAAAAAATTTTATGTCCCTTCGCTCTTTTTTTGTGTACACATAATATATCGTATTTTAGCTATTTATGAAGATTTGATGATTGGGTGGAACTAAGGAGAGGTTTGAGGATGGTCTATGGAGGACTTAAAGGGTACCAGAGAGGTCTCAGGAAGACTCAAAAGGTTTGAGGAGAACATGAAGACTGTGTAAAGAAAGTTAAAAGGGTTCATGGAGATTTTTTGGAGGGACTAGCTTTTTAAACCTTGTAATTCGGTCAATACCTGCCAGAAGAACAAATTTGACCCCATAGCAATAAGAAAGTAGTCACATACCTCAATAAAATTCCCAACGCTAGTCTAATCTTTCTGTGCCTCCATATGTACCTCCTCAAACCCCCTTAATACATCCCTATCACATTAGATCATGAACTTTACTATTCTTTATCTCAGTTACCATATTTCAGCCCTTTTATTTAATTCCTGTGTCATCATTTTTTGTCTCCTCTTTTTTAGTACATGTAAGAGACATAAAGCATGGCATGAAGAGAATTTATGATCCTTTTTTCTGTTATTTTCATGCACTTAGAGCTCGCCTACATGCTATCACACACTAATCCTCTAGCTCGCAAGTTTTCAAATACATCCAATTTAAATTTTTTTCAATCTATCTCCCATTTCGTATCCTATAACAATAAAAAAATTGCCTATCTATTGAAAAATAACTCAACTTGTTCCTTTTTTTTCTCATTGTCATGACATGTTGACGAAACAACAACAAAAAAAATTTATAACAGTTGCCGAACGGAAGCTTCAATGGTGCACTTGGTGATCTAATCAATAGACGTGCCGACTTTATGGCAAATGCATGCTTTCTGAAAGATTATTTAACCGATAATCGTTTGGAATTCACAAATGCCATCAATGATGATAAATTATGTATAGTTGTGCAGACAGCAGCATTGGTATGTGAAATATTTATTTTATGCCACTTAAGTATGTAGGAGTATTGTTAGACCACAAATCGAAGATGTGCCATCTTTGCCTCCACCATTAAATAAATTAATATTTTATTGTGACTTCGTATAAAGCATGCATCCACACTGAAAAGCATGTGGAGGTTAAAAGGAATTTTTTTTTGTTTGGGAATTGCCATTGAAAAGTATGTCAGATGCATGTGGCGCATGAGGTGAAAAGAGGTATTTGTCTGCTGAATTTGCAACTTAATTTGTGAATAGTGAGGCGTAGATGAATTGGAAATGTGACAAATAAACACAAATTCAAGGATTTATGTCTTATTGCTTAATCTTGTTCAAATAATTCAAATGGAGTTAAATGGATGCGGATTTTGTGTATGTTTATTGAGAATATGAATGAGAGGATTTATTATAGAACTGAATTAGGAAAATTGTTAATGACGTCTATCAAGTTGTTAAGTTTATAGTCATTCTTTATTAGAGAGCTCAAGTTGCTCAATTTTGGAAAAGTCTGATGATTGAGAATTATTAAATTTTAATACTGACTTTACAATCCTGAGTTCGAATCTCAACTAGCATCTTGTATTCTTTTATATCTTTACGACTGTGAATAAAGCTTCTGGACCGTTTTTCTCGATATTGTAATTTTATTGTCATTGCTTACCTTAACAGACTTCTTGGATATTGCTCACTATCTTGATCTCTTAAATCATCTCCATATCCTCTGACTTCGTCTATTCCTCGAATCCATTACCTTCAATTTTAAACCAACATCTTCTTTCAAATTATGTCAAGTAAAACTTCCAAGAAGACAGCATTTAAAATCTCTTTGACATGTAAATAGACAATCTTACTAAAACCTCAATTCACCTGCCTGTCATGTCATAATCCATCAATCTATTATGCTTAAAAATCCATCAGACAAACTGATCCTTTCATCATACTCAAAAGGTCGAAAAATTATGATAAATATGAAATGTATCTACACAATTCAGCACAAAAAGTGGAGATTTAAGCACAAGAATCCATAATAAAAAGAAGAAGAGAAGATAAAGAAATCTCTGGCATAGAAAAGTAAAGGCGACATGAATTTTCAGTAAGGATTTCATTTCATTGTTGTGATTAATGGTACAAAAATTCCATCCTTAATTTCCTGCACTTGATTTATCTTTCGCTAACTTGCTATTTTATTCTGTTAAACGAATTCACGAATGATGGTAATCCACACAGAAAATACTGTTGTATCTAGCATTTTTACCGTCTCACTCTTTATCTTTCGCATTAAATAACAAAGCTCAAACTCAAACGGAGTGAACGAAAGATAGAAACTGACAGAAAGAACATAATTGTGAACGCGATAAAATTTTAATGAAGATGATTTTTGTTCCTTTATCGCTGATGTTGAAAATTCGGTTGCTGTTGTTGTGAGCTTCATTTATGAGGCTTTAATTATTGTTTCTAAATTAAGACATAGGAACGGCGTTCCTTTCAGAAATTATTCGGCATGAAACGTTTTTCTTTAAGATCAAAATTTATCAAACCACCTTTTGTGCTTCCTTCATTTCTTATAACAATTCTTCTTATTTTTTCGCATTTTGTTGGCAGTGCTGAGTCCTTAATTTGTGATTGATTTGTCCATTTTGGGAGGAATGACACCAAACTGTTCTCAAAAGATATTTTTTTGCAGTTACTCGGAGTCCTTATATGTTAGATCATACATGAGAAGAAGGATAAAGTTCAATCCTATCACTCTCTCATCGTTTGTTAAAACTGCAGCCTCAACTTATCTTAGAAGGATTAGGATCGGCTTTTCTGATCTAAGTACCAACAACCTGCACTACTACAGACCTGACTCGCCTTCATAGCGCTTAGAACTCACCTTCATATTGATATCCAAACTAGTCCTTATTATTTGGTTAAAATAATACTTCATTAAACTGATTTCAATTTTAGATATCGCTCAAAAATTATTTTTTTTCTCTTGCTCCTTTGTGCTGTACGTCCTTAAATGAAACAATGAGAAAAAATTTTAAAAGGAAAAGTTTTTAAAGTATTATTTAGGGTTTCAATCTGTTTTTATTTTCATATATATTTTCAGCTACATGTAAGAAAGGTGAAAGGCAATACGTTTGACTCTCGGGGACTATAAAAAGTCCCTTATTCAGCACTTTAAAAGCAGCTAAAAATTAATGAAAACTTTTTTTTGTTCATAATAAAAAAAAAAGTTAAAAGTTTTTCACACAATGCCATAGACATGAAAATACCATTTTCATTTACATATAATGTTGAGAATTTTCCAGCCATAATAAATATTACAGTTGGGAGCTTTACATAGAACAATAGCTGTTATTTGTCAAAAGTTTAAAGAGAAGTTTTTTAAAAATCCTTACAAAAAATTTTGGTTGATTCCAATGAATTTCTCTCAAGGGGAGGTAGGAGCTGAACATTTAAATGTAATTTACGTGTTAATGGATGTGTAATGATTGATATGTTATTATTCTCATGTGTTTCGAGTGTAGGTTTTATATATTTTTCTAATTTTATATCTTATATCCACACCCACATGATCATGATAATAAATCAATTCTTTCCATTATTACTCATCTGTGTATGATTATATCCCACTCAATCACAAATTAAAGTCACACAAAATGATTCTAAGAGAAAGCAAAATAAATATCAACTGGGCAATTAGTACGAGTATGTGGGTATGTTTAAATAGCTTCAAGTTCTCTTTGTGAATAAGCAGTTTCAAGAGTTTCCAAAGTTACTAAAAACATTTTATGTACTCAAGCCATAGAGATACAAACTATATTCCCAACAAGATGGCAAGTGTCTTTGAAAAATAGAGTCTTAATTCTCACAAGTATTAAAAGGACTTACTAATGTGTACAAAAATAAGACACTGACAAGACATGACATGACGGTGTGAAGAAAATAAATCTTCACATTCAAAGTTCAACTTACAGCTTTTCTCTTTCTTTCTTCTTTGTCTCTATAGATACCTGATTCATTACTTATTTTCTCAATTTTCGAGAGAAGTGTATGGATTCTTATTTTAATTACCATACTCGTTTCATGTTTTGCTCACGCAATTCTTTTGACTTTGATGGATGGTATTGAACGTAAGTATCATATTTAATTGATGTTGATTTTTCTTTTGAAGCTTTTGAAGAAGATTTTTTTTTGGAGGATAAAAAATATGGCAGATGGGAGTATAATTTATTGTCCTGAACAATTGCTCACGTTTTTTGCTAGTTTTGTGATTAATTGAGGGTTTTTAGATTTTTAAGCCCTTCAATGGACAGAATTTTTGTTTGAGAAAATTGTGAAGTTTAAAATTATGTAGCCTTACAAAGTTGTGTACCCCTGGAAAGTTTGAGTACCCCTGAAAAATTGTATACCCCTGGAAAATTGTGTACCCCTGGAAAATTGTGTACCCATTGAAAGTTATTCACATATTGAAAGGTGCAGCTTTCTTTGAATATGATTATTCTTTGTTCAGGTAACCTTGGGAAAATGTGAATCGATATAAGTTTTATACCCCTTCGAAAGATGCGTGCCCCTTTGAAAAATTTGTAACCCTTAGAAAAGTGAGCACTTAAAGAAAGTTGTATGCCCCTTCTCGTAGTTTTTTTAAAAAGTTGAAAAACTCTCGTTAGTTGCATACCCCTTTATAGAATACGTCCCTCTTTATAAGATGCTAGCTCTTATTAAGTTACGACCTCTTGTAAACCTTGAGTATAAGCTAAGTTGTGTCGTTTAAGAAACAACTTTCAAAATATAAAGAGATTTAATAGGATACGAAAAACCAAAATGTTGAGGGGGATGCTACTTAAAATTTAATCTTTTTTCCCATTTAAATGTAAATTTTTAAATCATCCCAAGTAAAGCATACAGCTACATATAACACAAAATTTAATAGTAATTTAATCAATCTTCTTCTTTTTGCCATTTCTCACTCCATTAAAAAAGAAGAAAAAAAAAAAGTTCTTTTCAATATTCTCTTCCTTACGCATTTTAAGAAGTGATGACGAAGAAGAAAATGAAAAGAAATATTTATCATGCTCATATATAAAACGTGTTTCCAAAAAGGTGAACAATACTCAAATGGATCACATTCTTTTTTATTATAATTTTCAGATGTGAAATATGGATCACTTAGGGGACTCGACAACGACTATAAAGGCTTTGCAAGTCATCTTTTGAGTAAAATTAGAACCGACACAAATATCGCATTTCGGATAATTGCTGTAGTATTTGGCGTATCGCATTTAGGTGGCTTTAAAGATTCATCTGTAATGCGATTTTTCCTCGCAATGTGTTTATTATGGAGCGTTGTGCTTACAGGAGCTTTTACAGTAAGTAAATATATATACCATATACAAAATTGTTTACCCTCCATTAATTGCCAATCAAAATCGTCAAATCGAGTGTGTGAAGCATCATTTAATCTCAAATCTATCTCATACTTCATTGACTTGATTTGTGCACATTTACAAACGTAAACCTCGATGATGAAAGAGAATTTAAAAAGAACAAAAAAAAATTTTTTTACGGGTGATAAAGACCTTTTTCCGTTATGCTCAATATGGTGAAAATTTACTCATAGACATTTATAATGATGAGCTTGAATCAAAAGAGGGCGGAGACGATGTAATTTTATGAATATTTCAGGGGTTGTTCAGATGTTGCGTGATTATTATCCATTATTCCTTTTCTTAAGACATCTTGATGAAGGAAGTAGAATTTTTTGACGGTTCTATTGGATTGACTTCGGACTCTAAATTAATCTTAATCTTTCAGCCTTTCAGCTGGAGGCACTGCGATTCAAATCAGAAAAGAATCTATTGTGCCACACCCTTTAGACCTACAGTTTATAGTGGGATCCGAACCACTTGCAAGCTCTGCACATTGCAAAGACACGAGTACGTCATAAGACCTGATGTACCCTGCGCAAGATGCCGTAATGAAGTCATTCAGATGCTAGTATATCCTTGTATACCTAGCAAAGGAGGCATATAGACCTCAAAACTACACCCAACACACGAACTGAGTTTCGTGACTAGAACGGTGAAATGGAAAAAGAGCTTCGAAAATTAGACATGGCCTGGGATTGAACCCAGGATCTTTGGCACAGAAGGCCAACGCTCTACCATTTAGGCCACTGATGCCATTTCACCGATAGTAAAAAATTAAAATAAATTGACCTTAGTCAAGTATAGTTTTCTTTTTCTTTAGTCAACATAGAGGAGAATTATAGTAAAGTTAAATTGTATTTGACTAACCTTGTTCCACTCCAGTTACTCCTTAACTAAGGTATAGTTATGAGTATGATCTAGTGTTTGATTTGAAGTATGACTAGCTTTATCCTTTTTAGTTGACTTTATTACATAGTCCTATCCGGCTTCGCCCTACGGTCTACAATATGAGCAGTGACATAAGCTAAGTAGGACCACTTAGTAAGAACTCTAGAACCTAAGATAAAGGTTTGATGCTTTTTTTTTACCAAAACTTCTCGAATGGCTTTTTCTAAGCATCACAAAACATCCAAACAAACCTCCTAATAATATCGAAATGAGACCATCATTTCGCATGATGAACAAAATGATATTCAGCAGCTCGTAGAAGTAGGCGAAAAAAAAAGAAATAAATTATCCTCCTTCCGTCCTTCGTGTTTCAACAATTCAGATTGATTTATGATCTGAAAATATAATGTGATGAATGTAAAGTACTTTATATATTATACAATTGCTATTCTTATTGCATGAAAATTTATTTTTTTTATCGCTTTTCAAGTGAAATTTGTACTTGAAACAACATTACCAGTTTTGCAATTGAATGGGTAATTTTATGGTATTTTGAGAGTCGAAATATTTAAGGAATTTCCGTAGTCAATTTTTAAAAGGAAACAACATTGTCAAGTGGGAGAATTTCAAACATTTTTTTCTGTATATTTATAGAGCTATAAAAAAATATGTACCCTGCGGCTTCACCCACCCAAATTATTAGTAATGCCTATAAATAGGAACCACAGCCTCTGAAATTAATATTCTTTTGAACTCGGCGAAAAGTTTTTAATTAAAAGCGAAAGTCCCAAATTGAAAATACACAATTATCATCAAAAAGGTTTCATTTAATGTCAATTAGCATTAAACGTGTACAAATGCGAGCAAATATAGCCAATTATAATTTTCATAATAGTATAACGTTTATTATATGTTTACCGCAAAACTTCCAGCCACAATCCATTGATATGCAGTGAGAAATTCATTGTGGTATGTGGTGACAAAAAGTTATGATTTTATTTTTTACTCTCTGTATGAGTTATGGGCCTTTTACCTGTGGATTAATATTGCTAAACATTCTTCAGTCTAGACAAAATTCTGTGGATTTATTATGCAAGAATTTCGACAAAATAAAAATGGTTATAAAAAGGTCCCTATGAATGTTTTTTTTTCTCGTCAATTTTTGGATGGGATTTGAATAAATTACTGAATCTGCTGAATAAGTTGAGATTTATAGGAAAAACAAGAATTTTTACGTAATTCATAAATATTATGAAGTAGTCAGGTATGAATCCATTGAAGTGAAATGTCTTTTGGGAGATTAAGCATGAGTTATATCGACTCAAGTGCATCAAGTTTAAGGAGAACCTATAAATCAACCCTTTTTACCTCAGTCTTTAATACAAGAAAATTAAAATCCAACAAAATCTCATTCCAAACATAATTCCACAACTGTTGAATTAAAACTGACCCTTGCCTGACCTTTCATCCTTTCCCAACTAAAGAAAACATTTTTAAATCCTATCAGATGGAAAAACTTTAAATTAAATAATTTTACATCCCTTTGAACGTATATTATTAAATTAAATGTATGCTTCTGAAAAAAAGATTCGTAAATCTGCCAGAGCATGACATCCCCAAAAGCTCTCTTTTTCTCTGTTTCCTTCCTTCATGCTTTTTTATTTCCTTTAATATGAAATCTACGCAAAAGATATGAAAAAAAAAAATTCTTAATTTTTCATCGTAAAGATTCTTAAAGAGGAATAAATGGAACCTTCACAATAACACGTTTAGAATACCGTGAAGCTGGTTGGATGGAGGAAATGGGATGAACAAGAAATGTAGAAATAATCTGTTTTTGCTTCTATTCATCATCGCAATTTTATTCCATATCTTCTTTTTATTTATTTGTCTCTTCTTCTTTTCATATTCCAACTTTATATCTGTGGATGGACGTTTGCAGGGCTTACTGTACAATGTTTATACATCACAAAAGTCTTATCCAAATATTGACACACTGGAAGATTTATATCAAAGCAAATTAGAGATTCATGTTAGACATCCCGGACTATTGACAGACATTTTTGGTGATGGAAAGGATAAATCGGTTGTGTCAAATTTGAAGCGTCACTTGAGAGCCTCAAATGATGATTTTCTCAATCTACGAATTGTTAATAAAGGAGGTATAGCATCACTTGAGAGATATGCAAATTATGAATTTGAAAATAACAAACTTGTGCCGAGAGAAGATGGAACAAGCAAATTACATTTAGTGGCTGAATGTCCCAGGTGATTTGAAAATAAAAAGAAGTAAAAAGGGAAGAATAAGAACTTTCTCTGCTTTCCTATTTTATTTTCATTCTTTCCCTTTTTGAGCATATTTGTGGGATATAGAAGTAGGAATGCTGCGTATTGTCCCATTTTTTGGGATGGCTATGATTTTGTAGATCTAATGCTTAAAGCTTTACAGAAATAGTACATGAGCTACCCCGGGTACCTTAAGAGAGTATGAGTACTTCGAGCAGCACTAGAAGCAAGCAGATGAATATGAGATTGACTCTAGCGACTGCTGTTTCTTAAATTAGCATTTTATATTAAACTGTTCCTAGAGTCATATCTTCCAGCCTTTTCAAAATCAATAAAATTCCTCAGCATATCCTACAAAAATGCGCCTAATCCTTCCCTAACCTCAACATTCTTTTCCCAAATTTTAATAAAAATCTACTTCAAATCCTCTTCTGTTATAGACTTGATACTATATTCTCCCTTTATCTCGTAATTTTAGGAGCTACTCACTTTCATATCTTCTACCAAAAAGGTCAATCTATACAAAATCCATAAATTGGTATATTAGCATCTTCATGCAATCGGGACTGACAGCAAAATGGCACACAGATTCTAAGTTTTATTTCAAACTGGAGCATCGCTTAAAAAGTCAGGATCACTATCGAGATTATAAAATAAAAATTAATTTGCAGCATTTGGAACTGGCATTTTTGATTTTGTTATTGGGTTATGTATTAAGCACTTTAGCTTTCGTAATCGAAAGATTCAGAAAAAGACGAAAATAAAAGCTAGGGAGAAATTCCCTCTCAATATTTTATATTCTTCTATCTTTTGCTGACAATATGAATGAGATGCTTGCTTTCAGCAAAATGCAATAATAATATTTCATATGAGACATGATTGAAGCTGAACGTAGGTGTCGTAGTTGTGATAGTTAAACGACTCGAGAATCGCTTAGAAATCAATTCAGGATTATTTTTATTTAGCGGAAGGATGTCAGAATATTTTTTGAGGACGTGAAAATTTAATTTCAATTCTGAACGACATTTTGATAAGTTTTGTTGATGGAAACATTTTCATGAAATTTTCCACACGATTTGTGCTGCTGAATTGTGGATTCGATGGATTTTTGTCTATGAAAAATGTTAGGTATGTGAATGTGACTTTCAAAATTGTAACGATTAATTTTTATGACATTTTAACAATTAATTTGAAACAATTGGCACTCGAAAAAAAGTCGGAAATTAATTAAAGTGATTAAAAAAGTTTTAATTGACTTTTTTGTGGATGAAAATTCTTTTATTCTCGTGTGTAGTGATTTCAATTCGATTCATTATAAGAGCATAATGTGGGTTTTCACACATTTTCATATGCTCAATTCTTTGTATATTGATGAATCATGCATGGATATTGAATATTGAATTTTATTCTCAGATTGGATTTTTTGGAATGTTGCATGAAATGTCATTTCAAAAATTGGATTGAAATTTTACTTTAATATGATTAATTTTTTAGACTCTTCTCTAGGGGAGATGGAAGGGATTTAGGATTGTTTCAATAAAAAATGTCGATTGTCAATTTTGGATGAAACTCTTTAAAATCATTTAAAGTTGAATTCTCAATAAAGCCAATTCAGGAAAATGCCTAAGTTAAAAATATATTCAGAACTTCAGCATGTCCTTCAAAATCGTAATTTCCTACGCATAAGGATGTTTACGATGTGTAGCTTTCACTCATTTATTTTTATATTGTTGCTGTAAACTCCCACAAGGCATTTAATTTCACGAAACAGGAATTGAAATGAATTTTGAGTACTTCTTATTTTTAATGTAACATAACTCCTATGTAGGCAGGTATTTTCATCATCTTCTGAGAATAAAAAACATTTCTAAGAATCGTACTCATTAAATGTTGAGGAAAAGCTTTTTACTTGTTTAAGAATTTAAATTTAGAAATGGAATTAAATCAAAAGGTTTTTCTAACTTCTCGTTAAAGATTTAAAAGGCAATAAAAAAAGAGTCTCCAAAAATAAACGCCAGCTCAACATTAAATAACCTTTTACTCAAGAATATTTTATCGAATGCTTGCGGTAAGAAAATATTTGTGAAGGATGAAGAAGAAGAAGAAGTTTGACAAAAATTAATGAAAAGTTTGAATAAGTTTCAAACGTTGCCATGAGATATTAATTCTTCAAATAGAAAGGCCTTGATTTATGTCTCCGGTTGAGCAGGCAGGCAATTATGAAGAAATATCAAATAACATTTTTCGGAAGCAATATCAAGAGTAATTTGACATTACAAATATTTTGCTTAAAGGACTTTTTCCACGTAAAGAATTTTTTTGCTAAGTCTGTTGTACTTTTTGGGGATTGTTTAGATGTGACGTTCAATGTGTGAAAATTTCGAGTCCTTTGGAGTGTCTTTCAACTTCTTGGAGACTGTCAAAGATTTGCAAAACAACAAGACCTTAGCAAAAAAGGATATCAAGATGTCCAAGCCCCACTCCAATGGAAATTCTTTTAAGAACCCTTTTGAGTCCGACAGAGGTAAGTTGGGTTCAAACATCCCCAACACAGCTACCACAATTTTTTATTTACGTTCATTGCATAATGAAATTTTCTCTCATTTCATTCTAAAAGCTTTTTATACAAAAATTGTCGAGATGGAAATTTGCATGAAGAGTGTGTAAAAAGAAGATGGAGATAAAATTGAAGCTTGTTTTGATGCTGATAGGAAAAAGGTATAATCAAGAAAATTAGATGGAATTAATCATGGATTACATCTTTATTTTGTCCTCTATAAAAACCATTCATTTTATTTCATTCATCGTAAGTGACGTAACAGAATGTCGTATACAATTATTTCCTCGACATCCTTCATGATGAATTGTAATTAACTTCCACGAGCAGAAGATGATGAAGGTTGAGAACTTTTTTAGGCGAGTGAATTTCAAGGACATTTTAATTATTTAATGTTAAGCTGCAGAGCATCTTTAAAGAATTTTCTTGCAAGAACAGCTATTCCCAAGGTAACCGCTTGGAAGTTCATTAACTTTGTGCATTTTCCTCAATTTTTTTCCCATCATTTTGCTTGTTCCTCTTCCTCCTCATATAATTTTCCGCAAGAATGGAAACGAAATTTGATGTGAATAATTAAGCGCATCTTTTACTGCCTCAATGTTTTCTCTGTCTTATAACCAAGTCAAAAAAATATATAAAAATTGTTTTTTATTTCCTCCTTGGTCATAAGCATCGTCTTAGTATTATGAAATAATAAATTATTCGCAGATTAAACAACAAAATTTTATGTGTGTGAGGATTGTTGTAGCTGCATTGTGAGATTTTTAGTCATATTTCTAATAACTTTATGTATTAGAAGATTGAGAGATCAAGTTGCTTTGAATGGGTGCTATAGCATCCTTTTGGCATTCAAGGGATATAATCTGCAAACTATATAATGGTCCACACTCTCCCCTAGCATGTGTAAGATTAATCATAGCTTTATACAAAAAAACAAGTCCCTGATAAGAATCAAACCTACAAATTCACATAACAACGCTAGTTCCTATCCACTCAACCACAGAGGTCTCATACTCGCACTATTCACACTAGCTCATATTCACACATATTAAGTTCAACATCCCCAGATACTAAATTGCTCTGACACCACAGAATGATGCATCAAGGACGAAAGATGGATGAAAAAAAGGCTCGAGAATTTCAATTGACAAAAATAAAGTTTATTCAAAGTGGATGTTGTTGTTCGAACGTGTCAGTCGTGACGGAATAAAAAAATTTACCCATAATCAGATGAAACATGGCAAATAAAAAATATTTTGTAACCGAAAAAAATGTCCGCATTTTTTATATTCGTTGAATTTTTTTGATGAAAAAGCACTTTAAAATTTTTGTTTCGTTTGCCTTCATTTTTGCCCTTTAACTTATTTTTTTTGTATTTTGAGCTTTTTTTACACCCGACATCATAAAACGCAGTTCTTTTCTCCCCTCACTTCATCGACTTACTCGATACGAAGCTTGAGGAAAATTTTTCCTATTAAAATTCAATCAGTTTGCCTTTACTGTGCTTTACTTCCGGTATGAAATGTTTCAATGTAACAAGCTCAATTTGCCATTTTTCTTATTTCTTCTCTCATTCCATCACACTTTTTTTCTTGCTATTGTGATTGTGTGTATAACAAAAATGGAATAACATAAAAAAAATATTGTATTACAAACGTGGATGTATGAATCACTCATATTTGTGATATATTACAATGATATAATGCTACTGAAGCATGAAGGAAGAATGCCTTGGTCTTATGAGAATTCCAACCATGAAAATTGAGTCTGTTTTTGGAATAACATCGGAGGTTGAAAAATCCCTTGAAAAATGTAATAAATAAGCTCTATTGAGTTGATTTTTCATCTATATGAAAATTTGTGAATATACACGCTTTATTTGATTTGAAGGTTCGCAGCTTTGTTATGAAATTTTGCTTCTAATTTGAAATTGATTTTGAAAATATCGATGACATTTGAAGTTGTTTCAGAATTGGACTAAGTCTATTAAGGTAAGTAGCATCATGATGTTATAGTGACTAAAATGACTAGCTACCCAAAACTTATTGTTTGGGCATTTATTTGAGTTTAAACCTAGATTATACCTATGTAAAATGCTTCTAGACAAGACTAAACTTTAGAAAGTAATTAAAATTTAAAAGTGACTAGAGAAAGTGCCATAGAAAGCCCTAGAAGTCATCCTCTAGATTCCAAAAAATGTCTACCAGCTGCCTTCATTTCCTTAGTTTTCACACCTTGCAGCCAAGTTTAAACAAACATCCAAACTTTTTCTCAAAACAAAAAATAAACACCTTCAGCAGAAAGCAACAAAATTCAATGAACTATGATGTGCAAAACAAAAAAGAAAGAACAACATTGTTCCTTTCCAAAAAAAAAAAACATGAGAAAATAAGAAATAAAAATACATTTTACAAGGCAATGTAAGACAATGAATGAAGAAGAATCGTGTCTCAATTACCTTATGTCATCATCATGTGCATGGTTAAAAAAATCGAATCAAAAGCTTTTTACAAAGAATAAAAGAAGAAAATCAATGTAGGAAGAAGAAATAAAAAAAAGTAAAGAAGAAAATTATTTATTGTTATTTTACTTCTTTTGTGCCTTTTAAGTGAAAGCACGCAAGTTTTGTGGCAGGGGTGGAGATAGGAAAAGGAAGGAGTTGAGATTTAGAGGGCAAGAAGGGGATCTAGCTACATATGTGGCAAAGAACAATGACGATAGGATTGGTATTCCCACGTTCCTCTAACATGGAGGCATGACTAGGTCGTGCGGCAACATTATTTTTTAACCCAATCGACCCAAAAATCATTAGAAACGCTGAAATTCTAACGCTTTAAAAAAAAGGAACCACCCTCGAGCAAACTTTAGCTCCAGCACTGCAACAACCAATTCCCTATTAAAGAGATGAGAAAAAGAAAATGTACTGTGGGTAGAACACGAACATCCCTTACAAAGTAACTATCAAAAGTTGAAATGAATATTGCCTCACATAAAAATATCATCACGAGAATTGAGAGTAAAGTCAGCAATCTAGTACAGCAGTGAGAGACTGGAAATATGGGAGAGAATTGATCACATTAAAATATATCACGCTGGTCTTTATTATTCTTTCATCATAGTTGAAAGCATGAACATAAAAAAAAATTTGCAACCCAAAAAGATAAAGTTATGAAATATTTTCGCTCATCAATTTTTGATGGAAATCCGATGAAATAATTTTTTTGTTTGTATTTCCAATAAATAATGGTTTAGTTGCTACCCTCAATATTTCTTTTCATCCAGTTGATTTCAATAAAGCTGCCTGCTGGCAATTTTCAGAATAAATAAAAAAAATTATTTGTGATAAAAATCACAAAGCTTTAATCGAAGATTCGTACACTAATATACGTGCCTCAAAGCTACAGATTCATGTTTTATGTTCGCTCAATTTATTTTTCCCCGCAGTATACGGTCGCTAACAAAATGTTTTTCAATGAAATTCGATTTTACCAACATTGTGAGAAAGGAATGGATAAAATTTGTTGGGAAGAAGAAAAGCGTATAAAAAGTTGGCCATTGAATGTGATTCCGATGATGTTCCGCTTGATGCTTTTCAATATGGATTTTATTCGTTACGAAAAAGAAAAACTTTTTTTTTGATATAAGAGAACTTTCCTCTTCATTCATTTCTCCTATTTTGGTCGAGATTGGGCAAATTCGAAAGATGATTCAGTGGATTTTGATTTCTTTGAGATGAATGAATTGAGTATGTTGTGTTGTTGGTGCTCTTGTGCTTTTGTTTGAAGTATGGAGACAGATATTATGTGTATTTTCCTTCCAGAGCTGATGGTCTAGACTAGCTTAAGCTTGAACCTTGATGCAAATTATTGAATTTTGAGCAGTTTTTACCATTTTGCAAGGAACAATGTTAAAGCATAAGAAGCTTAAACTTATATTCTTTTTTTTTCGAAAAGATTGATTCAAATTAATATTTAGCTGACCACAAAAGCAGACCTCTTACAGCTTCCCTGTCATCTCCAAATAAAATTAACCAATTTTCCTTTTGAAAAAGCCAATTCAATAAATTTCTTTATTGATTTATGGCTCTCAAAACTTTCACATCAACTGCATTAGAAGGAGACGTATGTATTTGTTTATGTAACCAGCAAGAAATAGTGAATTTGTGAAGGAATGGGATGAATTTAAAGCAAATAAAATTTTTCTTATTTTCTATTTTTATTGATTTTGGGCCAAAAAGTTGTTTTTATTTATTTCTGTCTGTATGCCATGGAGTTTTTATGCTGATAAAGTGATTTTTTCTCTTATTTTATAGTGTTGATGGAGTCAAATGCCAAACAATAGGCCAAGAAAAAAGTTCAAATCAGTTTGATCTGATATGAACCTCAAGGGTCTTTACAAGTGTTCATCGGTTGTGTTGTTGAATGTAAAAAATGCCACTTTACCAAAAAAAATGTTGATAAATGTTCAGTGTCATAGCGATGAATGTTTATGACCAATGACTGAGGTTTTACTCCACATAAGTGACACGATTCAATTCAATTAGATGGAAAAAAAAATTCTGATTGACATGAAAAATAGAGATTATTTGTTTGAAAACCAGATGGTTGTAATTCTGTTGGATATGTATTTTTGGTTTGTGTGAAAAATATATTTACATTTGGATGAATTTTGACTGACATAGCGTGACCATTGTAAAGAATTTTCTGCTTTAATTTGCCAGAATTGAGCATTTTTGGATTGGATCAAAATATTGATCCAAAAGGGATAAATTTGCAAGGTAGGGATGGGTTTTAAAAAATTAATCCAGCCTCTAAAAGTTAAAATTTAGCTTAACCTTTTGTAAGAACCTTCTCAAATACCTCATTTACTTCCATATGCGCCCCATCTTCAACCCTTTCTCAATATATAAAAAAACTGCAGCTTTAAAACTCGTATCACATTTGTAAGGATTTGTTAAAGAAATCTACAACAAGAGAATCTTGATTTATTTGCTTTTTAAACTAAAGCCACTGAGTACACATGCCATAGATAGAAAATTCTTCAGAATATATAAACATAGCAACATAGTTTTGATTAAATGAAGTAAAAGTTTTTCTTTCTTATTCATTCCTTTTTCCCATGCACACACAAGCTACTTTGATGAGGAGGAAGGAGGAAGTAGAGAAACTTTTTTATTTTTGATCAGCTTAAATGATGAATGTTTATGGAAGAATTTTAACAAGAATATAAGCATTCAACAAGCATTAAGTTTCACATTGGACATGTGAATGTTAAGAAACTTAAAAGCTCTTCCACAGGACGACACAGTTCAGTTATTGTTTGTCGTTTTGGACGTTCTATATTTGATAAAATCTTATTATTCGAGTCGAGTCTCAATATTCGTCCAATAACATCTCGTGCTTTCTGCTCTTGATTGTCATTGATGAAGCTTACGGCAAGCTCCTCGAGAATTTCAATGGCACTCACTTGATGCAAATCATAGTATTCATTATAATGTTTTAGTGCTTCTTTTAGCCATTCTATTGCCTCACTGTACATTTTTGCTGAATTTAATTGCTTTCCAATTTGATAGCAATCCTCAGTCGAGAGACTTGTCCTAGAGATAAAATTGAATTTTATGTTATGTCGAATGCGGAAGATTTTAGCAAAAATGTCATACATGTGTTTGCATGCATGCACTTTCTGCAGGGTTGGAAAATTTGACACAGTTTTGGAACTTATAAGCTGATCAGTAGTCTACTACTCAGTAGTCTAGTACCTTAAAACTTACTGGTCCTAGGCTGTTGAATGATTCCCAACCCTGCGACAATGTATGCATTCACCCACATAGTCAAAAATAGACAGGAACAGAGTACAAAAAAAATATTTATCTACCTTTTTTGTTTAGTGCCAAAAAATCCTCTCGCAATTTTATCACTCCGCAATTTATGTGTACTTTTCATTCGTACAATCTCCAATAATGCTTGTCTAAGATCATGTTTATTCGGTAGCATTTTTTCACTCTCATAGTAAGTTATCAAAGATTTAAATTTATTTGCTTCCTCAAATGTTCGCAATGCCATTAAATTTGTATCGGATGAAAGTCGTTTGATAAAAAGAAATTTATTGAGTTCATTTGAGAAGTATTTATCATGATGTCGTACCGCATCTGAATGTTCAACTTTGAAAGTCAAAAGTTTTTTCCTTAACATTTGTAAGACACTCTCTTGATTGTCAATGTAAGCTTCCAGATCACTAATTATTTTCTCCTCCATTGATAAATATTCCAGATACGTTTGCTGTGTTGTGTTTTGTGCCAATGAATAGTTATCTAACAATGATGTCCACATAATTAATGATACAATTAGTAACATGTTTCTGATGTTTTTGTCTTTAGGTCGATTTGTCTAGGAAACTTTGTTCGTTCTTGTTTTTTTTTTTTGCTTCTTCTGTTTGTGTCGACTAGTACAACTGCACGAATAACAAATGACAGCGACAGAGAACACGATGTGTTTTGTCATACGCTGATAAAGTGATACTAAAAAAATTTATTTGAATTTTTGAATCATGAAAAAGCTGTAAAAAGTTTTCATTACCTTTTGTTGCTGTAAATTGATGACTATGGGAGCACTTTGTCTGTTCGACTGGCTAGTCTGTGAGTTTGTGCATCTTTGAGTATGTGTGTGTGTGAGTCTATGACATTCTCGCGCGTGTGTGTGTGTGTGTGTGTGTGTGCGTGTGTGTGTGTGTGTGTGTGTGTGTGTGTGTGTGTGTGTGTGTGTGTGTGTGTGTGTGTGTGTGTGTGTGCGCGTGTGTATGTATGTATGTATGGGTGTGTGTGTTTGATTGTTTTTAAAGATGAACGATGATTTCTCAACCTGCTTTATGATTGATTGAGCACAAATATCCGTCAATATGATCATTAATTTGCCAGTAAGTTTGATCTTCAATAAGGTTGTCAAATCCTGCGTTAGTCAAGCTGAATCACTCTAGTGAGCTCTATAAGCGCGGGTTCAAATCCCAACGCACATCAATATTGAATTTATGTGCATTGAAGTCAGTAAATGCGCTTTAAAGCTACAAACTAATAGTTTTCATTTATAACTTCACTTACATTCAACAATACATTATACAATTCATACACGTTTACTTCTGTTGCCATTCAGTATTTTGTTCCCCTTGCATATTCTGCTGAATTGAGGCAATAACAAGCATTTTTGTTTTTAAACACTTTTCAATGAAAGTCGGTGAAAGAAGTTCTTTTTTTTCTCTCCATTCTGCTCGAAATTATTTTTACGATTATGCATGCATGCATTCATTTACAGTCACAATCAAGAATCTTTTTACTCATAAAGTTATGGGAGATGTGAAAAAGAGACGACGAAGTGAGGAAAACTTTTTCCTCTTCTGCAGTATTAATAAAATCCTCTTTATGATATTTTTTATATATGTGTATGAGGAGTGATTCTTATGATACTCATTCATTCCTTATAAACTATTCACATTTTCTCTGCTGTTTTTGTTCTCTTCTTTTTCTTTATTTTATGTTTTAGGTCAATGGTCAAAAATTTATTTTACTATCTTGGAACGTAGTAAAGATTCTTGAAAATAAATTGAGTAAGGTTATGTAATATACATATTTTTCACTAGCTTGACTTACTTCATTAAGAGTCTGTTTTCAATTGAAATTTTCATTTTAATTTTTAAATTCTGATGCTTATTAAACACAATGATTCAGAATCGGAAAAAATGTTCAAAAATTCAAAAATAACATATTAATTAAACTTCATCTTTTAAATGCCAGATTAAAGATTTTAACTTAAGGCATATCCTATGAAAATATCTCGTCCCAATTTGATGTCTAACTCCAGAAATCATTAATTTAATCTCACCCAAAATTTGTTTACAATTTGTGTATGAAAAAAAATATGATTTTTTCTACTTTAAGTTGTTATTTGGATGTCTTGAAAGCAGTTGCTAGCTAATTTAAGCTTAGCTTTACATATTAAAACAACAAACTCAATAGAAATCTGCTTATTAAGCCTTAAAAATGAATTGAAATCTGAGTATTTTTACAAAACTTAAACTATTCATAAGTTAAAAAGTCTTCCAAAGACCTCTCTGAAACCTATACAAATCAATTAATTAAGCTTAAATCTATCTCCCATACAACTGGGGACATGCCGTTTGATGCCGTTTTCGAGATATTTGCGATCAAAGTTTACAACAATTTTCATACAAAATTTGATCATGCACAATATTTTTTGATAAACTTTTACAAAGTTTTGGTAAAAAATCATGTTTATCCTTTATATTAAGAACTGATTTTTTGAGCAATGAACGAGAACATTATCTAGAAGATGCTAAAAGATTCAAATCAAGAGTAATTAACAAAAACTTTCAATTTTCTAATGTCTCGGAAAAGTATTGTGCACAAGGAATTTTTGAACATTTTTTCCGAATCTGAATCATTGTGTTAAAGCTGCTTTAAAAATTCCATTAAAACGTTAGCGCAGCTAAATAGATGAAAGTATGCAGAGCTCAAGGAATTTATAGAGTTAAAGACGAGTGAATAATTAAGAAGTAATCTTCGGGAGTGTTTGGAATGCTTTTTATAAGAAAATTGGAAAATTCGTTCCTTAAGATGATTTTGGATTAATTGAAAACTATTCAGCCACAGAAGACTTTCTGTTGCACTTGTAGATCTTCATATTGTATTGCTCCTTTCTAAAGTGTCATCTAAAATTGTCAATACTATGTCCAACATCCTTCAAATCCTATAAATCACTTTGAAAAGAAGCACTTTTGAAAAAGAAAATCTCTAAATCCAATAAAAAATCAATGACCCTCTTAAATCTTCCCATAAAATATTGCAAAAACTAAAAATCATTCAAAGATTTATGTTCAAATAACAAATTAAAAATCAGTGAACTGAAGAAGTGAAAACATCGAGAAAAAATTTATCGCAAAGTCAACGAAAGCGTATTGAATATTTCTCAAGGGAATGGCAACAAAATATCCATAGCAGAACTACAATATCAGTTTTCTTTAAATTATGCGGAAGTAACCTTATATTTTATTCTTTATATACAACAATAACAATAACATCAACCCCAGAAAACTTTATATATCGTATTTTTTATGATAATGATTATAAATTTTCCACATTCAACCTGTAAAGCAGATGATGATGATGATGATGACGTCTCGCAATGAAAATACCATATAAATTCAGCCTGTATTTTATGAAACTTATTATTAGGATGCTGTTTATGTATAGCTGTTCCTTTTTTAAGCTTTCTGTATGGATATTAACATTTTAATGTTGATGCGAAGTAAAAATATTAAAAAAGATTAACTTTATATTCCTCAACTAAAGTCAAGACTCATGTTGCATGAACAGTGATGATTTTTTTTTTTTAAAAAAAAATAAATGTTCAGTTTTGCTTAATAAACTGGGAATAGATTTTAGGACATTTGAACAAATGAAGGAATTTTATATGTACCCTATAGTTTTATTAGCATTTCATTTTACATTAACTTTGAACCGATACAAAACCGATAGAACCGTTTCAAAAAATCCAAAAATGAACGAATCGAATAGCTGAAATAAAGGCCTTTCCAGCAATATATACTTTGTTATACCAAATTTAGATCATAAATTGACTATAATTCATTCAATGTCGTCAACTGTCTTACGACAAAACTACAAAGAATCATCCAGTTGCAATTCTATTACAGCTGTAACTTAGTGCTACATAGTAAAGACTTCCAGGTTGTAAATACCTTTAAAGAAATTAGCAGCAAATTAAATTTTTCTTCATGATGCCGTTAAGGAATTGTGTGAATTTGAAGCATAAAAAAAATCCTCAAGACATTAAACTCCGGTGAGGATGAAGTCGCACAAAAAAAAGAAGAATAAAAAGAAAATTAAGTCAAAATGAAAATCCCCCAAGTTCTTTTTTTGTGTGTGGAACTGAAAATTGTGTTAACGATCAATTTACATTTAAAAGATCTGTGAGTTAAGCTTAAAGCTTGCTTTTTATAATCGTAAATGATTTTTTTCTCATCTCAAAATTTTTTTTACATTTTCACGCTAGTTTTTCTCGGGTTTTCGTCAAAGTCAGTGGTCGTGAGTCTGAAAAAGAGATGAACAAAAACAAAATGTTTCCGACTGAATAAATTTTTTAATTGAATTTATTTTAAATTCATTAAATTTTTAATCTCGTTATGGAAACTCTCAGCAGATAAAATTAAGTGATTATGTTGGCTGATAAAAAAATATAAATATTTTTGACGTAAGTCGACGAAATATTTTCACTTTCTCCATCTCTCTCTTTATTTTTCTACTGTGTGTTCTCCAAGGTTGAGCAAAAAAAAAAGAATTCTTTTCGCATGACTTTCAAATGAGTGATTTTTGAGTTTTGCTACATTTTCATTATCAAATGTAGAAGTGGCACAAATAAATTCATAACAAGTTAAATGCTCAAAAATCGTTCGTCATCATTCAGCTTAATTAGTCGTCACATCCAACTTGTTAAAACGTTTTTAAGTTTACAAGCTATCAAATTTGCAATATCATTCGGAGATGATGATCGTTATGATTATGTAGACTTTAATATTATATACCTACTTGAGCCTACACCTTTGCCTCGGTGATGATCGATAGGATTTTTTAAAAATGTATTATCTTGGAAAAAGGCCAATATCAGCAGGCCATAGCATGTATACACATTTTAAGAAAATATAATTTCATAACAATAAATAAATTGCTATGTACCAACTCAGTCTCTCGACAAACAAAAATATGAAGTCATGTATGCACAATATTTATAAGGAAAAAATATATTCACAGTTGAATGATCAACGACAGCAAGTGTGCAATGACATAAGCGCATTATTCTTATTTGCCTATAAACTCAGCACTTTCTCACATGTTCAAGTTCCTCGTGTTGCACTTATAATTATCTTTGTTATTCACTCTTTTATATCCGTTTACATTTTAAATTAAAATCAACAAATTTGTTTGTTTGTGCATGTAAGTGACATGCAAGCGGATTTGCAGGAACTTAAAAATTGACATTGAAATGATTTTTTGAAGGATTTAGTGAACTAGTTTGTTGTAGTTTTAGGGGTCGTAAACAAGTTGCGTCAATAGAATTAGGTCACTTTCTGTCCATTGTTGCAAAAATTGCTTCATATAGCACATGACGCTCCTAGAGTCTAATACACGAAAAACTCAATTTGTAAGAATTGCAAATAAATTTTTAAAATTCACGTTCAAAAGAATTTCAAAAATTTTCCAATAAATTAAATCATTTATTTTCTTCATAATTTAAAATTCCATGAAATTCCTTTGCCGTGTTCAACTCACATCCATTCTAGTGTACAAATTTATTGTGCACACACCTAGTGAGTTTGTAAAATAAGAGAGAAATTAACTGAACATTTTCAAGGTCGCTTTAACTTTAACATACAATAATAATAATAATCATAATGTAGAACCGCAAGAAGAATAGCTCGTACGAACGTAAGCAAGGTAAATTATAACACAATTAGAGCGTGAAATTAAATTTTTAGACTTTCTGTACGAGATTAATTTACAACCGTGATTTCGCTCCTAATTTCATTCCTTTTCATAAAATTACAATTACCATAATTTTTTTAAATTGAAAATTCAGAGTTGTCAGCATGCTGATTATTTTCATTTCTATTTATTATTCATTGATACAAGCTGTGTTATGTGAGAATGTATTTTTTGTCAGTTTGGGGTCAAGTGATTCATGATATATGAAGATATAAAAATAATTTTAAAGTGCTCTTCTTATTAGAATATCACAAAAATTAGACCCTCAACGATCCCAAACCACATGTTAACAGCTGCATGTTAGCTGTCAGATGATCTCATTTTTTTTAAGCAAACGTAATCAAAGTCATGTCTGTTGCTCATATGGCTAGCTAATAAATTTTTAACTGTGCTCGCACACGTTTTTTTTGCCGTTTTTTTCATTCAATAAATTAGATTAATCAGCAGAAATTTTGTTAAGTTGCCAACTCTGCGATAAAGATTTGATGACTTGTAATGGAAATCCGTTAATCAAATTAAATGATGATATGAGCAGAAAAGTAGTTATGCAGACAGTTAAGTGACATAAGTTTCTTGATTGTTGATCATTACATGAAATAGTGTGCTATGTTATGTTAGCAATTTGTGTGTTCGTGGAAATTGAAGCTATGAGTTGGAATTTTAGCTCCTTAAATCACATCTCCTTCTTGCTGATTTCTCTTAGCAGTTGAGTTTTCAAGAGCTGATCTCCTAAAGCTTCTTTAATTTAAATAGCTGACAATACCAACCTAGTAGCTATCTTTAAGACTTAAACTTCTGCACGAACTCTAGAATCTCCAGACAAAATGCAGGCATGTTTATCGTTTCCCCTTGAATAAGTGCGCTAAAAGAATATCCATTTGTATTGGAAGAAATAAAACAGTAGAAACAAAAAAAAAAGTTTTAAAATAGCACATAAAAATATTTTTCACTCTTCTCTTTCAACTTGTAAAAATAATCCAAAGCTGTTGATCATGATCTTTAAAGAATATGTAGTAATAGTAAAAAGAAGTGAATTGAGAGACTGAGAGGGAAGAATCATGTGTTAATATACATACTACGCGCAATATAACGATGGTTGTTGTAGGAATGAAAAAGAAAAGTACAATGCTTGTGTATATACATAAGCAATAACAGAATTTTTCCCAACCGTAAATGAAAAACAAGAAAAATGAAATGGAGAGTTGAGAATTAAGAAAATGTATCGAACAAAAAGAGAGAAATGAGAAATTGTTGTGTTTATTTTAGATGAAAAGATTCACATACTTTGCACGGAATTAAAAATAAATGAAAGAGAATAACAGACGGTTTATAAATAAATGTAAAATAATCCATCGTGTGAGAATTAATTGACTAAAAATAGTAAAAAATAATAATGATGACAATGAGTGACTGTGATGCACCATCATTGAGTTGCAGTAAAATTAACGATGATGAGGAACAGCTGATCAAACTTAGCCTTAAAAAACCTAAAAAATGGAATTGGGAATTAACGACATCAAAGTCCTCAAGCAATATTGCTTTTCCAACAATTCAGCTGTACGATGACAGCAATAAAAAACTCCTGGCAGAGACAAACGAAGCTAATTTCATAGCAGGTTCAAACCTATGCAAATCAGCTTCCGTTTCAAAGGCATCGTCCATCAGACAGAAGAAAAATGATAGTTACTCGTCGCTCAAGTTTAAAAACGATCCAATTACTATCCACACAGAACAAGCTGAAGAGAGCGACGAGAGTCATCCTATAACTATAAATCATGACCCGAATTTACAGAACGATACATCAAAGCTACAACTTAAAAATCATAGCCGCTCTAGTTCAGTTCGATCAAGGTCATCGATATTAAAAAGAATAAGAGAATTCACTGAATTGAATCGTGATTCATCTTCAGATGATGATAATGATGATGATGACGATGACGAAAGAGACGATGAGAGGAGCAATAATAATAATAGATCAAAAGAAAGTTTAAAGAAGAAATATTCAATAAGAACATCTCATATTGGAGCACTTTTAGTACCCAAGGATAGCTTCTCGAAAGTTTCACGTCGTCGACAGCGTAGAAAAAGCGTTGATGATACAAGCACCGGTAAGTGAAAAAATTTCTCCATCTTCTTATTATTATTATCACTGTCATTCTCATTGTTACGCTTTCAAATTAAAATTTTTTTTAACGCAATGTTTTGATATAAAATTAATGCTTTTTATGTTCATTTTGGGGCTTCATGTATTGTGGTTGGTGAAAGTTGAGGTACTTGAGGGGGGTTGTTGATATACTTTTTATAACAATATTAATGAGAAGGAATTTTTAAAAAAGTCTAGGCGACACAAGAGAGACAAAAGTAGCTAACCTAATATTTAATTGAGGCTTGTCACTCGAAGTGTAAAATCAACTCTAGTTGATATATAGGAATTGAATGTATTTTTATGTGTTTATTCACAACCTACTAGAACCTTTCTAACTCAAATTTGAGTATTTTTGACTGTATTGATTGCAGCCTGATTTTAACATTTAAACCAATTAAGCAGAACTGATCAAATTCATCAAAATTTAATTCCGGCTTATCCCAATAAATGAATGAGTATGCCCAATATATTGAGTATGCACTACTCTATAACCTAACCTTAGTCATTACAGAATTTTTAATATTACTTTTATCTACATACATGGCGATTTTTTAAATGAATAGGTCAACGACACTGAAAAAATTACAGACTTTAATTTTAAAAATTCTCACAGTGACGTTGCTCAAAATTCCAATGCTTCAGGCAGCAGTCTCGTGTTTTCTCCAGATTTTTGGGATGAGTTGTTCTTTTATTTCCGTAAGATTTTTAGTGCTTAAGGGATTTGTAAATAGTTTATAGAGTGATGCAAGCAGAGCTTGAAGTTGACTTGGATTTTATCAACTTTCCTATAAACTCATGTCGACTTTAAGTTCTAAAAGTAATCAAACAACTCCTTTAGAAAATTCTAGAAAGGACTGCTTCATTGACAAAGTATCAATAACATAATAAAAGAAAGCACAGCAAGGGTTGAAGCAACAATTTTAATTCGTTCTGAGAAGTAAATTGCATTAAAATAAATCCAGCCATTTCCAGGAACAAAAGCTATAATTCCATCATAAATAAAACAACAGAATAATAAAATAATTTTCTCTGGAGAATAAAACTGTAAATACATCATTCCAAGCGCTTAATCTCCTTAATTAAAATCATCTTCATATCGTATTACAGTTTGGTCAAGGCAAAAAAAAAACTGGAGTGCTGTTCACATCATTTTATGGTTGTTTCCAACCAGTGTTGCAAATGTAGATGTCTACACTAGATGAAGAATGTAGATTCTTCAATAGTTTTTGTCTAGCTAAGAAACTTTCTTCATAAAGATCGATTCTACATGTAGAAAGAAAAAAACCATCTACATGTAGATTGTGTCTACATGTAGAATCTGTCTACATGTAGATTCGATGTAGATGTCTATAATTCTACATTTTTTCCAGGTCTACATCAGAGAAGAATGTAGAATCGTAGACATCTACATTAAATCTACATGTAGACAGATTCTACATGTAGACATAATCTACATGTAGATGGTTTTTTCTTTCTACATGTAGAATCGATTTTATGAAGAAATTTCTGTCTCAGAATTTATCTGATCCAGACAAATAGCCAGAATGCAACACTGTTTCCAACTTGCGTTATTATTTATAAAAAAATATATTTACGAAAAATGATTTCACATGCATGCACGCGATACAATCATTTCACCTTCACTTATTTTTAAAAAGCCAGTATAATTGATGATTCAAGAGATGCTCGATTAATTTATAAAAAAAAAAATTCCTTTGTGTGTGCAAAGTTGAATCATTTTACGACATATTAAGTCATTGAATCGATTGAAGTATATCGATAAGTGTGTCAGTCTGTTTATGTCATGATGAAATAATATTACCGAATTTTTATGTACGATACACAAAAGCATATTATTTTAAAAAACCATGCCATAAAGTTTATGTTTTACATTTTCTCTCATTCGTTGACTGCGCATGATTGGAAATAAAATACGTAAATTTTGTTGTCGAAAGAAAAATGAGAAATTCCAATAGAAACAGCTGATCACAAAATGCTAGTCCATAATAAGTGCGAGGAAAAGATTCACATTGCCTTTCCTTCCTAATATTTTTCCACATGAAAAAGAGAATTTTCATTTCAGTTTTCAGAGAACACTTGACGCGTACAGTACAAGGATCTAGTCACAGTTCAACATCGTTCGTTGAACCGTTTTAAATAAAAAAAATTCATTCTGAATGTGTTAAGTGAGAAAAAAAAAAGTCAAAATAAGAAGAAGGATGGAGCATAACGAGTGAAAGATGTGAAAAGTGCGGATGACAAATAAACAGATTTTTTGACATCATAAATAATCGCGTTGATTCAATTTTTCTAAAATAAATCAAAATAAGGAATATAAATCAAGATATTTTCAGTCTTACGCGAATGTGTGGTTAGAATAATACAAGGCAGTGCAAAGCACGACACATTTTATTTATTTCTATAGCAACGCTAAGAAAAACAACAAATAAGGATTAAATTGGAAAATGTTCTTATAATATTACAATCGGGTTCTTTTTACTATCGTCTAAAGGTTTTTATTTCATATATCGATTGCGGTACGCAAATTGCTATCGTAAAAAAAAGGAAAATAAACATATTTATTTATCTCATGAAATATTAAAATCTACTATGTGTGCGATAACAATATAATAAATTTGATATTGTATTACTATGAACAATGCATTGGCGATGGTGAAGAAACAAAAAGTTTGTGTGAAATGAAGGAAGAATAAATGCCGGAATTTATCAAGAAACAGAGAAATAAAAGTATGTAGTTAATTTAAGCTGGTAATTGGGAATTATTCGGATGTTATGTAACGCTAGGTTTGAGATGCAGGCTATCTTATGCTATCTAGTCTAAGGTAGACTCAAAAAAGGCAAGGCTGCAAATCAATAGCTACCTTTGACTTAATAGTTACTTCTTCTTTTGAGTGTCTCCATTCCCTTCCCCCATCCTCATTCTTAAGCCCTCAGTTGTATATATTGCAATATTTTGATATAAATCTCCTTACCTCCCTAACCTAAAAGCATTACATAACATCCAACTGCTCCCCTAACAAGACCAGCTCATGTGGAAATCTCATTAGTGGCAAAATTTGCTAAGTTATCAGTGAATTGTTTTGGTAATTAGAGAATTCAACTGACCATCTACTGTGTGGCATTCATGCTATGTGCTATGTGTATTCAGTGTGTTAAATAAAGAAACAAAGACGAAAGTATCGTCTCTGAAAATTTAATTTGTTAAATGCCACACTTCTCGCCTGAAAAAAAGGACAACTCAAGTCAAAATAATTGAAAGAAAAAAAAAACGGAAGTGAATGAAAGAAAGGAAAGAATGGAATATAATTTATATTATGGAGCTTAGTGCGTGACATTTCTTGTATATTTATATATTTTAGTGAAAATGAAAAAGCTTTTAAAATAACCAAAAAGGAAAAAAAAACCTTCACAGAAAAAGTCAATATTTCAAGGATTATCGTCGTTTAGTTTGTTTTGAAAGGAAAGTTTAAAACTTAATCTAATAAAAAAAGGAAGAAGACTAGTTAAAATAAATTGTGTGATATAATTCAAAAAGAAGGGAGTAAGGAAGGATAAGAAAATATACAGAGTGTCAATGTAAGTGATTTCGTTCTAGAATTTTTTTTTGTGCTCTTTGTTTCTTTTAAAATTTATTATTCAATTTACATAGAATGTATGCATATAGTCTATATTTTTCTATGTGTAACATAGTTCTCGTTCTCGAGAAAAGATGGGATGATTTGAATAGAAACATAAGTGGCTGATTCTAAGCGCATTTGGGAGATAAGCTATTGAGGGCAATCATTGAACTTGGTACTAGCTGTAATTTGTCAAAGAAATCAAAACAAATAGAGTCTGGCGAGGGGAAGGGACCAAATCTGAAGAGTGTCTGAGGCTTAATAAAAATGTTAAGTACATCCTTAAAAATTGGAGATTTTTCAACTCAAGAATACTCCAATTGAATAAGGAAACTATAAATCGAAGGAGCAAGTAACCTTCTTTGATGACATGTGATTCAGCTAGTCAGCCAAACTAAGGTCAATACCATTCATTCCCTCAAATGAAATTGCGCTAAAGCGAATCATTTTATGGGTGTTATGCTATAATATTGAGATTTCTATTTCAATTTTATTTCCCTCCTTCCACATATACATGCCGTTGTTGCTGTAACAAATAGAATTTATTTGTTTATCGTATTTTATTCAGTTCATATTTGTTTCATACACAGAACCTAATGGATTAAGATGTTATAATGAAAATATAACCGAAAACAATTTACAAAATGGAATGGAATAAAAAATTCATTCGAATAGCTTTCATTGTGCTGTATAAAATTCATAATTATGCTTAAGGCAAATGTGAAATTGAGTTAAATGGCTTTAATTTACACTAATTATGTATTAAATAAGCACTAAAGATGTTTTAAGTGATTCATGATAAAGAATTTTTCATATTAATACAACTAAATTGTGTAATGTGATGATCGGATGTAACATGACCATGAATATTTGAGAACCTTTTTCGTACACAAAGAATAAAATTTAATTCTCAGTAAACATGATAGATAGGAATTTCATTCAAGTGAGGTGCCTTAATTTTCTTCTGACTGAAAACTTTTTTATTTCAACCAATTAATCAGCATCAAGTTATTCAAAGCACAGAAGAAGAATTTCAGGAATTTCAGCAATGAATATTCTTGACGTAGTTGTTTTTGGGATTGTACGGATATTATGTGAGGCAATAGAGAAGATAGGAAGGTTTGTGCTAGACATAATTTGAAAATTTTTACTAAACTTGTGTTGTGGATGAGAAGTTGAGTCAGAAAAATGAAAACTAGAATTTTTAGAGTCACATATCATGAGAATGACTCCTTATGAATCTGTATTAAGCTATAAATTAATTATTGAACTAAAAATACACAAAGCTTAATCAGATTATGATGAATCTCTCAATATTTTAGTG